ACAGAAATTCTTGTTTGAAGTTACAAAGATGAAATCATCTATTAAAAAAATATTTATAAGAGTAAAGAGTGTTGATCAATTAAAAGTATAATAATAAAATCAATAAACAAAGGATTTAAAGAGGTCTTTCGTAAGTTAAAGACCCTGACAAGTCAATATATCTTTTTTTTATAGTAGATTTGAATTTTGCAAGGGTTAGTTAGTGCCTTCAGAGATGAGTGAAGATGATTATACAAATGTAAGTTTAGTGAATTTCTCACTAATTATTGATTTATATCTGGGCAGGTTCGATAAACTTGAGGATCTCGTTCCATATGCATGAATATCACAATATGTTATATTTATTAACGTATCCATGAATCTCTAGTAAAACTTCATTAATATATAATGTTGGAAGTGCCATGATACCATGTTGAATAAAAAAAAGAACCTAAACACCTAAACACACTAATGGAGTTACCTGAATGACCCCAAATCATATAACATAACTGAGTGAAATTACCCATAGTAGGCTCTTTCGAGCGTCGTTAAGCTGACCACATTATTTAATCATCTCTGAACAAACAAAACAGTGGAAAGTTTGCTAGTCATAGCTCTGATATGATCATACGAGCTCAATCTATTATCAATAACGAATCCTAAAAAATTAATACTTTTTGATAGATGCATATTTGGATTGGAAGATACAGCTATATTTTGAGTTATATTTTCATTCAGAGTCAGATTATTACTGGCAAACCCTTTATATGCTAATGTTTCGCTATCTCGCGTCATTAATTTGCTAGAACATAATAGAGTCGTACCATCTGCAAACAACGTACATCTTGCTGGTTTTATAAAACTGCACAGATCATTGAACGATTAAGAACAATAGTGGACCTAAAATGGAGCCCTGAGGAACGTCATGCTTCATTTCTTTGAGGTCTGATTTTATGTTGTTCACTTCAACATATTGGTATACAGTTCAAAACTGGCCATTTTTTTTCTTTACTTTTATTTATATTCTTTCATAGTTTTTAACAATCTTAGGGTGTATTTTGTACTGCTTTACTTCCTTCCACAAGAGGTCAAAGCCAAGGCATACAGTGTCCATTGATCAATGAAAGAGTCAAAATGTGAAATATAATTTCCAAAATTCATAAATATATCCTGTAAATTACTGTAGTTTTTATTCCCCATTGTAATTTACATAATTTCAACAGTGTTTTCACCAAGAAAGAAAGGAGCTAGGCTTCACAATGAAGTTTCGAATTAACGAATGAACTTTCCGATTTTGTTTCAGAGCTATAGAAAAATTAGGTGGTCTAGAGTCTGAAAAAGACTACCCATATGAAGCAGAAGATGAAAAATGTTATTTTAACAAATCCAAAACAATAGTTAGATTGTCCGGAGCTTTGAACATCAGTCACGATGAAGGAGACATGGCTAAATGGCTCGTACAAAATGGACCCATCGCTATTGCCATCAATGCCAATGCCATGCAGTTTTATATGGGAGGAGTGTCCTGGCCCCTCAAGTTCCTTTGTAATCCCAACAATTTGGATCACGGAGTGCTCATAGTGGGTTATGGTGTTGATAGTAAGTGTTTTTTTTTTTAATTTATATTTAAGGGTGTTTTTTTGACTTCCAAAGTGATATTTTGATGGGAAAGATTGTGGCTTTCTTCTTCTCCATCTTTTTTAAAAAAATACATATACTTCTGTCTCAGTTTGCTGAAGAAGTTGGACAAGTATAACTTTCAATTAATAACTATTTTTGCTAAATAATTCCCTCCTAGGGGGATATTGCTTTTACATAGAACTCAGCGTCTGGAATCTTACGGATCTCCTCTTTTTAGTTTCAATTGAATTTGCTATTTTTTGATTTTAATGAATTTTTTATTCTTTCATTTTGTTTAACGATGAGATTGGAACCTTTGGTGTGAAAGTTGAATAACTTTTTTCGAGATCAATTGCCCTAACACCAAACTGATATTTTTGCACTTGATGCGCGTTTCGCCTACAAAGTTAGCATCCTCAGGAGAAGAAAATTGATACCTAGTCTAGTCTGGTTAATCCTTATATACTAACATTTGTTACCTGAGGTTGTACACCTGAAGTCCAATATGGAATTTCTCGGTAATTAACTACCTGCAAAACGACCTTTGGTTTTGGAAATATCGAATTTATTCCATACTTGCGGACACACTGTATATTTACTAAATATACAATTCTTTCAGTTACCTTATATAATTGTATTTTTACTACGAATTAGTCTTGTGCTAAATGAACGATTATTATTATATTTATAGGGTTCCTTTTGCTGTTCATTATAGTCCAGCAATTTTTGTAAATAGTGGAACTCAATATACATTTTTCATTGTTCAATCTTTTATGATTTAATTTTTTTCGTAGGTTTCCCGCGGTTCAACAAAACTTTGCCTTATTGGATAGTGAAGAATTCATGGGGAAAATCTTGGGGAGAACAAGGCTACTACAGAGTCTACAGAGGAAAAGGAGTGTGCGGATTGAATCAGACACCATCAAGCGCCATAGTGGTTTGATGAACTTTTCAATCTCTTCGATTGTGATTAAGCGGTAGTTGTTGGGAGTAGCAAAAACAACTATGCATATTTTTATCCATATCTTGAGTGTGATGTGATATGAAACGAAAGTAACTAACTTGGATATTATTTTTGCTTATTAATTATATTCTTTTATATATGTCGCTTTAAGGAATTTAGGGTGTTATATTTTTACTTATGAAATATATTTGTTAATTTTTGTTTTATTGTTCATCCATGAAATCTTTTTTGGCAAAGTGGAAGATTTTCAATTTTTCGACTGCTCATCAACTGTATTTGGTCTAATGAGCAATTTGGAACGGAATCTGAATCTGAAAAAGCCCAATTGGTCATCATTTCAGAATGATATATCTGTCGTGAAAAATTAGAAAAAAAACTGTGTTAGAACGAGTACTCCTTTGAGGTGTGATACAAAAATATACATTTATAGAGAGGGAAGCGGTTAGTAGAGAAGTTGAGGAGTTTCAAAAGTCTTGAAACAAGTGATTTTTCAAAGAAAAAGCAAATAGAAGTTGATTTTAATTATTTACTTTGAATTTTTTTAAAACTATCATTAGAAATAAGTTACCTATGTGAATACGTAAATGAAGCAGTTGTCCCAAGTCAATGTCATTTAAAGTTACTTTTAGAAGCACTAATCTACAGACTTTGCAGCAGATTTGAAGGAAATTATCAAATTGAAAAATATTTCCTTCACTATGAAATGTACAAAAATATCAACGGTTTTTCTACATCTATAATAGTTAGGGAAAAATTTAAGGAATTGTGACAAGTTGAAACTTGGACATATTGAAAAAAGTGTAGTTTTTGCCATTGAAAGGTTTTTATCTTGAAGTTACTTAATTAATCAACATTATTATAGAATTACAACAATAACAACTAAAATCTATGAAAACAATAAAGTTATGCATACACACATACATAAATGAATAATTTATATGAAAAAACTTTTTCAAAACTGTTTAATAAAAATGCAGATGAATATAAATAATATGTATTAAAAGCACATAAAAAAAACAAAATATTAAGTAGTGATTTACATAGTCAGATGCATCTGGGAAATATGACTATTTAAACAAATCATAATTTTTATCATACAAAAAAGCGTCTTTGAAACCATAGTAGTTCAAACACCGTAAAATACTGAACAAAACATAAAAGTATAGACATGAACAAAAAAATTCGAAAAAACGGTTACTTATATGTCGGAGGGGTATTAAATACCCTACCCTCACGTTTTCTTTTGAACCTGCTCAATTCCGATCTGCTGCCCGAGGTGAAAATCCTATGGGATGTAGGCCTCAAAAGCGAGTCCGTACTAGGGGTCTGCTGCAGTTTACCAGACGAGGGGACTGAAGAAACATTCACAAAAGACGACCAATAATCCGAAGGTAGATCAATCAGGTGGCTCATCACCTAAAAAAAATTTATGAATAGTTGAATTTTATTAACACTGGTAGTAATACAGAAATAAAATTCTATGAAATAGTTTTATTCATCACTAAAATTTTCACACATAAACATTTACAAGATTAAATACAAGAGAAAACTTATTGGACTAGTCAAAAAAGTAAAACGCTAAAAGCTAAACACAAATGTTTGACCTTGAATAAATTAAAAAAAAAGAGACTACATGCATAAAAGAAACTGTGTCATTTATCTAAGCACTGAAAGCAAGAAATTCATCCATACTGTTAAAGCAGTTATCCAACAAGAAACCATATAGTTCATTCCTCATTACAGTTCTACTTTTATTGATTTGTTTTATTCGATTGATATAAAAGTTGTTATTTTATTGAGGCATTCAATACCCAAGTATTTTGGGGAATTCTGACTCATACTCAAGCAAGAGTAGGGGTGGTATAAAGTGTCTTCACCCCAAGTACCGTAATTATGTATATCAGAGTTTTTTTGATATAGGTGTATATTATCATAGATAAATGACACTAACTTTAATATGTAGATGCACGGCACTGGTAAGATGCTAAATTTTTTAAATAGTGGTTTACAAGAGTACAGTGGACGAGACTTGTCCATACAGCGAATTACTCTTTTCTGAACCTTAAAAATGTGGTCAGTATATGCAGAGTTACCCCAGAAGATCAATCCATACTGTAGCCTTGTTTGTACCAGTCCATGATACAGAGTTTTATAACTTCTGTAGAGACAGTGTCTCGCAGATTCTGAATTGCGTAGTTTGCACTTCCCAACCTTTAGACATATACTGTCGATATGTGCCTCCCATGTTAGCTTTTCATCCAGGAGTATTCCTAAAAATCTAGCTACCTGACAGTATTCCAGAGTTTCACCACACATATTGATGTTCATTAGATCTGGATTTGAGGACTGTTGCAATAGTTAAAAAATCATTGTTCCAGTTCGTAAAATTTTGATGACAAAAGAGAATTTCTGTTTTCAAAATAAATATTTTCAAAACATATTTACGCACTTATTTGGATGGACATAATTAAAATATTTACGAAAGAAAATACATATTCACCACTTCTAATGTTCTTACACAGTAGGATCTTACATGCCTGCAAAAAAATCAATGTTTTGAACTTCGATTTGAAATATTTATTTTTTGGTGTTTGAGGTCTGTTCCAAAAATGAAGTGAATTAACGTTTTTTTATGTTGTGGAAATTATTAGTGATTCTAGATCAGTATGTAAACAGTAAAAAAAGCAGCATAGGCATACCAGGTAAAATGCACTTAAACAATATTGAATATTCCAATGGCATTGATATTTGTAATGCCTTTTCAAAACACTTCAGTTCAGTTTATACAAATGACTGTGTTGATGGTTCAGCATTTACTGATAATACCAGTCTTGAATTGATATCTATGCACTATATAGATCATGATAATATCATTGATGTAGCTAGGTGTTTGAAGATAAAAAAGTTGATTGGGCCTGATAATAATATACCACCATTTATATTCAAAGATCTTGTTGACTTCTTGTTATATCTATTGAAAACTATCTTTAATCTTCCCTTGAGAAGCAAAACATTTCCTGACATCTGAAAAGAAGTAAAAGTTATTCCAGTCTTCAAAAAAGGTGACAAAACTGATATCAATTACAGGCTGGTGGTAGTATTATCGGCACCAGCCAAACTTTTCAAGACTGTCATTGCCAAGTATCTCTATAGATTAGTTTCTCCTAAAAGATCACAGTTCCAACATGGCTTCATGAAAAAAAGATCCACTGTTAGTAATCTTAGCAATGTTACCCAATTTATAGCTCAAGTGGACATTATATACACCGACTTTGCTAAAGCTTTTGATAAAGTCTCACATCCAATTCTTCTAAGAACACTAGAATATGACTTTGGTTTTCATTCCAACCTGATAAAAATTTTCAGTTCATATCTATCTAATCGGAAACAAAGTGCGACAGTGAAAGGGCATAAGTCCAGTCCATTTATTGTATCATCTGGAGTTCCCCAGGGTTCCAACTTGTGTCCTTTGTTATTCATTTCATTTATCAACAGCCTTGTAAAAAATATCAGATGCAGTTTGCAGATGACTTGAAAATTTTTAGAATTTCAACAGTTGAAGATTGTGTACATCTACAAAACGATATAAATAACATCGTTGAATGGTCAGAAAAGAACAAATTGTTATTCAATGTTCAAAAGTTTAATACTATGACATTCTCCTGAAAAAAAGGTCAGTATAACATACACCTATGAGATGGACAGTATAAAACTCAATAGAACTCGAGAAATAACAGACCTTGGTGTTACTTTTGATTATGAATTATAATTTAGATCTCATATACTAAATATAACAAACAAGGCCTCAAATATGTATGGGTTTGTAGTTCGCAACTCTAGGCATTTCAACAATATAACCTGTATCAAACATTTGTATATCACTCTTATCAAAAGCATTTTAGAATATGCTTCCATTATCTGGTATCTTCAATATAACTCACAAGTATAGCATTGAAATAATTCAAAACAAGCTCCTGAGATATCTTCACTTCAAAGAAACAGATAACTTGATATTTCTAAAGTAGTGCTACTTGAAAAGTACAACATACAAACCCTCAAGAAAAGTAGAGTATTTGCATACTTAATATACTTGTACAAGATGATACACAGTGAAGTGGACGATCCGTCTTCTATAAAAATCAATTTCAATGTACCTGCTTATGAAACTAGATCGTTTAGCACATTTTATATTGAATTGACAAGAACAAATTATTATCATAATGTTTTAGAAATAGGTTGTATGAAATTGTATAACTCTTGTTGTGATATTTACCTTTCCTACTCTGTAACTGGGCCATGGTCTGTAGAGTTTGTAAATAAATAAATAAATATGTTCAAGAAGCATAAAAGTTAGAAGTGTTTTGTGTTTTCGGCAATTTTCTGCTATCGAAAAAAATTGATCAAAGAATCAGCTTCAAATTTTGCTTTTCACAGAAGGTGCCACAAGTCTCAAAATAAATTCCTAGCTTCGACCTAGAGTTATGTCATACTGAATATTTTCATTGAAATCAAAGTTTTTTTCAAGAATTTTTTGGCATCACTTACCTTCATGATAAGTTTAGTTTCTTCAATTAATTTATTTGGATCAGGTTCATCTGAAGAATACCCCACAATGGTAGGAGCAAATACCTTGGCCAAATTGGTCGATGGCATTTTACACTCGGGCGATTCTGATACCTTCTTCAAATGAAGGATCATATACGCTAAAGTGTCACGGTTAGGTTGAGGCAGTTGCGAGATAATTTCATATAGAGCCGGTTCGATGTCTTGTGGATCTTTAGCCCTTACTGCCTGGATGAAATCATTCCATCTAGCATAGGTGATCAACGGTTCCTTGAGCAAACGCAGAAAGTCTTTGATGCAGCCACATATGACATGTATATCTAATTCTTTCACAGATGGGGTCGTTCGGCCAGTCAAGAATTTTTCCTTGAGCCCTGAAAAAGAATAAGATGAACTGACTGAAGCATAAAAATTTATATCTTATAAACTGTATCTAAGATAAGGAGACCAGCATAGGAAAATCGGAAATCATAAATCGGTTTCAGTAGGAAAACGTTGACTATTTTAGAGCCTATTCAAATGATATTTTGAAATTTAGGAGACTCCCGTTGCTTTTGGAGATATGTGAAAAGATACAAAATTCAATTTTTTATCGACGTTATTCAAGAAAATATTAAAAAAAAAACAAAATTTTCTGCCGATTTTCAAGCTGTATAAGATGGCCTTCACCAATTTTTCAATCCAATATTTTGTCTTCAAGAAACCACCAATTATAAGTTTTTATATAGACTGGAAAAAATAATCAAGTTATATGAGTTAGCCTTTTTGGTAATACTGATGTATTACGAATATTTGGTTTTTTTCAAAATTTTGAACCAAAATCATTTTGAGATCTGATAAATACTAACATTTCAGAAATTCCCTACGTGGCGCCAAAATAGGGAGGTGAAATATTATCCAACCCCCCCTTCTTTGAGCCTCTGGAAAGCTGAAGAAAATTCAATTCTGCCTAAAAAAAAGGGATTGAATTGTTTTGAAAAAAATCAACAAGCTATATAATCATGGTCCAAAAAAGATCTTTCGGAAAAAATTCTCTCAAAAAAGTAGGGTTCATTATCAAGAGAAATCAAAAATTTCAATTTGGCAATTTAGTTAAGGAACATCCCATATATTGCTAATTTTTTTTTACTACCAACTCCAAGAGTTTCTCAAAAGTAGGTAATGTATTTACCAGTCTAAATTTTGATTATATACTTACGAGTTCTGCAATGGGATAATTGTTTTCTAATCTCTAGGAAATATTTATTTGCTCAAAGATAAATTGATAAAATGTAAAAACCAATTTGCAGCAACCGCATAAGATTAATTCAATTATAAACTTAATTATATGTAAAATGACACAATCTCTAATAGGAGTATTTTTAAAGAATTTAAACTTGTTTCCAGTTCAACTATTAATATATTCTTGAATTCATTGAAATCAGAGGGGGATTCAGGAATGCGGTTTATTATTACATCATTTCTCACCCTTAACATCCCTTTCAGACCCTGGGATTCTGTAGATTCCAAGTTCGTTCAATCCCCTAAGCTCAACTTCTGTAACACAATGTATAATCAATGAAGGCACCATTGGAGGAGTCATAGGCGTATAATCTGCTATTGTTCCAGTAACTTTCTTGGAACTAGGAGTATTCATGACAGGAACGCAAGGCAAAGGTAACAAATCCTTACATTCTATGTGACACAAGGACTTGCATTCTTTACATTTTATTGCAGATCTTCCGAATCGTACCCTTTTCTCACAAGCTGAGCAATTTTCAGGCATCACAACAGTCTTTTGCATGAAACAGTGTTGGCGCAAAATGTTGTTTCTTTCTTGGTTTGGAGTGTTGTAATTATTTTCTTGACGAGCCCATGATTCAAACACCAAATTAGGAGGAGCTAGGTTAGCTTCCTCTGTTTTCGGGACTGATTCGATGATAGATGTGGCAGTAATTGGTCCGTTCTTTGACAAAGTTAAAGTGGTAGTAGCTTTCACGGTTTCAGATTCTCCTATCTCAACAACCTTATTTGAACCAGAGCGCCGCTTCTTTTTAGCGGGTTCATTTTTGTCTGAAGTCGGTTGACGTTTGTTCCACTCTCGGCCTGGCCTCAGAGATCTTGAAGAATCCAAGTCGTCTTCTGATCTTGAGAAACTGAAGTCAGACAGAATGGATCCTGTTGTGTTGACCTCTCTGATTGCGCTCAAACGATCCAGGTCACTCCAAATCAACCTTCCTGAATGGAGATTCCTGATTTGCTCCCTAGTTTCGTCTGCTATCTTATTTCTCTGATCCCTAGTCAACTCATTGCAGAAAGCGCCAATTTTGTGCTCCAAACTCTCAAGTTCCTGTTCGACATGTTTCCTTTTTTTCTTCTCTGCATCCAACAGGCCTCTGGCATTGCAGAGAGATTTTTGTAACTCAGTATTCTCCAATACCTTATCATTCAACACGTTTTGTAACCTCTGGCATTCGGTAAGGGCTTTTTTCAATTCTAGGTGCATCAACTTTGTTTCTTCGGCAAAGTTGAGGTAAGATTCCACCATACGGAATTTATCCTCTAGTTTTTGATCTATCAAGCGTTTATATTCGTCGTATAGAGCTACAATCGTGAGTTCACCGTTAGAACCACCAGTAGAAGAGCCATAGTCTGAGGCTGAACTTTCTTCACTATCTGATGTACATCTCGCTACATGAAGAGCCGAAAGAGGCGTTTTGAAAGGCTCTACCAGAGCATCAGACATTTTCGTTTTTTATTGTTATTATAAATATTCACAAATAACACAACTCACAACAGCTTCTGAAACATTTTAAATTTTAACGACTTATTTTTGTAACGGTTTGAATGACTTATAGAACAATCTAGTGGTTTGTGACTGACAGACGTATTCTGTAATTCTGTGCACAGAATCTTGTTCACTAGTCTGTGATTCTGTGTGTCGTTGACTGTTGTCATAAAAAGCGATTTCTTAAAATCAATATTATACGAGAAGAAATATTAATTTATACGAGGAGTTATGTCATATATATTATAAAATATACACTTATTCATATATATAAATTTATTCCAGAAGATTGAAAGAGAGTGATGCTTGGTAACACTTTTTTCTTGAAGTTTCAGTAATTGTATTGAAATTCATGATCTGTTTCTGTCTGTTTAAAATATGTTTTTCCGTTAAGCAGCTGTCGCACTCCTACGAACGACAACCCTCAGAAGTTGAAAATTGTGCGGGAAAAGATTAACGAGGTCTTACTTTTCAACGTGTGATTCCTAACACGTGAGAATAAATATATGTATTTTCAACCTATTGTCTATTATATTCATATTATTTTCAAGTAATTTTATTATTAATTTGAACGGATGATGGCCGGTCGTTGAGTTTGGTTCCATAACAATTGTAGTAAGATTAATGTTCACTGTATATCAATAAATTAGACTTTCTTTGTACTGCTCTGGCAGAAAGTGTGATAGAAAATAGACAATCCGTAGGATTTTACATGTTGTTGATGTTGCTTTGGTCAATTCTTGGATTGAGGATTCTCAAGTAGCCAGGGTCAATAAAAAAAAGTTGCTGAATATCTAATGAAAGGGGAAAATTCATTAATTAAATTCATTAGAATGATTCATAGGAAATAATCGACTACAATTGATTATTATTATAATCATATATTCATCTATTTTTCATTCGAATTGTACCATCAACCATTAGTAGTTTCTGTGTAACTAAAAAAAAGAATAATATGAATTCCCATTATATCTACATCTACTGGCTGAGGTTGATGACTCCGACAGCCATGGCCACTCACATACTCACTATCACTTACGTCATATTTAAATAATAAAAAACCAACTTTCATCTTTGTTTATCGTGCAGGTTAAAGTTTATTGTCGAGTTATTTTGCAACAAAATTTTAGTACGATGTGCGATTGCTGATTAATAAACTATAGCAGTCATCTAAGCGGTCGCGATTCGCGATGTTCCTTCAAATATTTGTAGTTGTTCCCTTGTGAAAGTGTTTATGCCTTGAGAAAAAATATTCTAGTTATTAATGATGTCTATGTCGAAACCATTTGAGGAAAATAACTTGCAGAACTCGTCCCAGCTCGTAAGAAATTCAAATCTGAATCTACCAATCATCGGAGGCGGCAGGAGCGCCCCAGTATTGCCCCCGAGACCCTTCAACTCTCCTCTAGCCTCAAATGGATATAATAACACCTATAATTCCTATATGTCTAGTATGCCAATGACTGGTATGTATTATTTGAATTGATGAGGTGATGCATGCAACAAAACTTGTTTATTGCCAAACTTATTGACTAATAATCAGGTACATAGAATCTTCAGATGTAACTTGATGTCATTTCTTTTAGTAATTCATTTTAATTTTTCTTTTGATTGTATTAAATTATTTGAGTAATTATCTGCATGCACTTGGATGTAAAAAGTAAAATTATATATTATTTGTGAGGAAAACAGCTAAGTGAATTTCTGTTATTGGCGAAATGCAAGTTGGGAGTTACTCAGTTCAGTTTTACCATAAAACATGAACATCAAAATTACTAGAAATATTTACCTTCATCAACTATTTTAAATATGAATGATTTCATTATTTACTTTGGCTAATGAATGCAAACTTGAAAAATTTATTTTTTTGAATGTGAAATACAGCGTTTACTATTGACTCAAGAAATGTAATACCAATAGCATTGTATGTGTATTAGAAAACTAGAGTTAGTTATAGACCCTTACAGAAAAAGTCTTGTTTTTGATTTACAATGTGGTTGAGTAAATTGACTGGCATTTTGAATTGTGAAAGAATAAAGCAATTTCAAAGTCGTTGAAAAATAAATTAAGTATGTCAACAAGACTTCTTAATTACTTAATGATGTAGGTATCCCTCTATCAGAACATGCTGCAAAAAGCATACAAATGATGCTCAGAATAGTCAAGATCTATATCAGTTTGCTCAGATTTTCTAAATATTTTCCAATGAATAATAAAACGGAAATCACATGAAAAATATATTTCAAACCTAATGATAACTTTTTTCAATAAATGGGGGTCTATTTAATGTGAACCAGCTTGGTTTTTGCAAAGGATTCTCCAAAAATCAAGCGATTACACAGTTTCTCAAGTTGGATAAAGGTAAAAAGACGTTAGGGATTTTCATAGACTTAAGTTAGGCATTTATTCTGGTAGATCACAAAATTCTCCTAACAAAGCTTGAAAAATGTATGGAATCAGGAGAATAACCCACCAATGGTTTGTAAGTTATTTAGAGGGTAGATATTACTATGTAGAGGTTAGTAGAAATAAATCAGAATCTAAAAGTTGTTCCCTCAGGGTTCCTCAGGGTTTTATATTAGGTCCACTCTTATATATAACATATGTAAATGATTTTTATAGTGATCAGTTCATTATGTATGCTGATGACACATCTTTATTGATGACTCAGGAAAATATTAAAGCCACAGTTAATAAAGCATCTGATGAAATAAAAAGAACCCAAAAGTGGTTCTCAGATAATGGTCTCTTGTTAAATGAAAAAAAACTGTGCTTTTACGTTTTAATCATTCAAGAACCACTGCAGATCACATTTTACTAGTAATGTCAATTAATGGATCAATTCAACAACAATAATAGGGGAGCCCAAGCGGGGTATCGGGATATGCAACAGATATTTGTCATGGAGTTTTCAGCTCCTGGCGAGACGAATATCGTCCGAAAAGAGGAGGAAAAATGGATAAAATATCGAGATTTTCTCTTCAAACTCCGCAGACTCTATCTAGACCACTCTGTCAAGATGGTTGTTCTGACAACTGAATAAAATATTACTATTATTTACAATTCAATTCTTTTTTTTTTTCATGGTACTGAAAATAAGAATGGTCCACATGATACATCATCTGATAGCAAATGAATTTAAACAAATTAATTAAAAATTATTTTTAATATTTAACTCGATGGGTTTTCTTATCTCATAAATCACCTCATATAAATGAACTGAATGATTTCAGAAATGTCCTTGTTTCTGAAGGTCAGGTAATGGTTTCATATTATGAGATATATCATTGTTACATTCCAGTGAAATACATCATTAATTGATAATTTAAATAAATTGAAGCGTATGTAAGCTATCTTCTCAGTGATAGGTGTAATTAATTTAATGGCCGAGGAAAACACAATAACCTATTACTGCAGTAAATCGTTTGTTTGTATTTACAAACAAAGGAAAGTTTCCTTTTTTTATTAACAGAAACAACTGTTGGATTCAGATCAACAGTGGTATGCCTTGGATTTTGAATATACGAGGTTTGTTAAAAAAATAAGGTGAATGTTCAAATTTCGCAGGGTACGCACATTCGATTAGCGATTTTTCTATGTGGTACACTGGTCTCGAACATTTGTTTATAGTTCCAGCACAGTAGAAAGCTAACGACCGTTTCAGATGTTTAGTNATCCTGACTGTTTACCTAAGAATAATTCATTATCATCCAAGTATGCAACTAATTGTTCGTAAACTGCTAGTTCAAGGACTTTCTCCAAAGTTGGTAGTGTATTAATTGGGCGAAAATCGCTTGCTTCAATTGTATTACTAACCTTTGGTATAGGAATAACAGAAGTTATCTTCAGTTGATCGGGAAATATTCCTTTATCCAGAGATGTATTCACCAGGTTTAATATCACATACCCAAATACCTCGAATGTTTCTTTTAAAAATTTGCTATTCAGTACTTCAGACTTGTTTTTATTGTCTAAGGAATGAATAATCTTCCGCAGTTGAGTCATCGTTAATAGTTTAAATTTGGAAAAAGAACTATCTATCATGTGATTTATACCTAATGTGTTGACTTTGATTTTTAACAAAATATTTTAATCTGTAATTACCTCAAAGTTGTGAATGGTCACGGTACATTTTAAAATATTCCTCAAAGCTTTGGGACATCAGAGGTATAACTTTTGAAATTCAATTGTTTCAGGCCCCAACTACAGTGGCTACAGCTCCTACTCCATGCCCTACCGCAGTTCCCTCTACAACTCGTACGGTTCCGGTTTCAATAGCTACAACTCTTTCAATTCGTATGGCGTACCCCCTGCCTTCGCCCCTGAAGACCACGAACGCCGCTTCATCCAGTACGCCGAAGAAAGTTCGAGGAAGACATTCGCCAACGTGGAAAACATCGTCAGAGCGTTCAACAGCATCGCCATGATGCTGGACAACACATTCTTCGCGATGACCAGCAGCTTTAGGGCGGTTCTCAGTGTGGCGGAGAACTTTGGAAGACTGCGCACCATGTTCGGACAGATCTGGTATTCCGTTAACATTTTCAGGTTTTTGAGCTGGCTGTACAGGAAGCTCATGAGGTTGTTGGGCTACAGGGTAGCGGGTAGTCCTAGCAGGGCGGCTTGGAAGCAGGCAACTGGGGGGTCTTTAGGTGGGGCTGTGGGTGTACCACCTGGCGCAGCTCCGGGGGGCTCCAGCTGGCCCACCGTCGCTTTCTTGGGGATGCTATTATCAGCGCCGTATATCATCAGCAAGTTTTTGCCCAAATATGAAGGTAAGCTTGGTTTTGTTTGTTGGATATTGATAGACACTTGTTGGAATCAATGTCATGAAAATATGCGGTCTTTTCTGAGATTTGCAAGAAATGGAGAACGAAGTTGAACAAAGTACTGAAGAAAAGTACTTCAGTATTCAATAATATATTTCAATATATTTCAGGTACCCTTCATTTCAATTATAATAACAATAATTCTTTATTGTTGCATTGCAAATGTCAGTATTAAAAAGTCTGTTGAAATAAAAAAGTTGCTCAACTTGAGCCTCAAATATGTTGAAATGTTCACCCTTAATAGAATCTGGTAGAACATTAAAAAAAATATATAGGGCAGCAGTTAATTCCTTTGTGGCTTTTTTCTGATGTGATTATGTGTTATAGAATTACTTGTGTATTTATGCAGGTTGGTTTTCCAAAACAAGTCACCAGAAATGCAACACTCTTCTTGACACACGTTTCTCCAACCAATAATATAACATAACTAAGTACGAACGGAGCACCAAAAAAAAAAGTTAATCGAAGTGAAACTTGAAAAAAAAAATATGAGTGAATGTACTTTGAGAATATCAAAAATGTTATCAACATACACATAAATACACACATCAGAGAAGATATCTATATACGCACTATATCTGTATACATATTTTCATATACAGTGCCTTCATTTCAAAACTTCCCACCCCTAGTACTTCGTTTAGCAGGGAAAATTTGCCATAGGTAAAAACACGTCAATTTAGATATCGAGGGGGAAGTTTAAAACCAGTGCCAGTGGTATTTTAGGTTTAACCCCCTTACCCCTAGCTATCCCCACTTATTGATTTTAAATGGCACCTCCTATCTTGTAACACATCATTTTAAAGATCTTAAAAATCTTCACTCAACCCCGTTTAGAAAACTGAAATTGGTTGATCCGTACTCGTAAAATAGGGCAAAAAGAAAATGAATTATAACAAAAAGGAAAAATTTATGGAACCGCTACCATTGACTCAATAAAGGTATGTTTATGTCTCTTTTTTTACACAGAGTTTATTGCTTTAGCTGAAAGTGAGATAAGGTACACAGTTGCTTCTTGGCGTCAGTTACAATTAAATGGTGAAAAAATGTATCAGAATTAGTTATTACAACCAAAACATTGACGTCCGTCACGAAAACCTACATTCCTATATAATTCTGTTTAAATTTTCAATCACACCATTATCAGCATACCTTATCAGTAACAAATGTCACTTTTAATAGTTTTGTAGTCATTATTTCATGTTTCTATCAACAAAAACATTCCTTAATCTGCCTCTGTGTGGGACTAATTGGCTATTAAAAACGTGATATTTTGTACAATTTTGTGTATCATTGAAAGTTCCAACAACCAGTCATGGAGTAGTTTTCATAAAATTGTTTTGAATCTCTTCGCTTCATTATTTGCTATATTACTTGACCTTTGCTTCCTTTGTAAAAAAACGTAGATTAGATATGTCACCAGTTTTGATTTATATTCACGATCCACTCACTTTAAATTGATAAGATCATAGACATCTGTCTATAACTTCTCAATCTTACTGATGTGAAAATTTCACAAATTCTGATCGATCATATTATTAGTATTCTTCTGTGATATTATATTTTTTCAAGATCTATTATTCTTTGTTAATTTGAATTGTGTTGATCTGAATTGAGAATTTATTGCACGATACCAAAGTAATAATGCTTGATAAATGGGTTATATCATGTGTAACTATATTTGATTGATTTGGATACTCAGTGGAGATGTTCACAATATTTCAAGTTTTCTATTCATCGAAACTAGTTATCAAAATGATGTCAGCGAACCATGGATTGTGTTCTAAAATTCCCAATTCTAGTATATAACTAAAGAAAGCTGTGAATAAAATATCAAAATTGATTAATTAGTATCTTATCATTCTTATTGTGAAATGTTGGTATTTTATTTTAGGCACAACTAAAATATTATGAAGGATTGTGCAATACAATTTGACTTTTAATTGCAAATTACAGCACCAAATAATTAATTTTAATTATTTATTGCTGATTACATTTCTGATTATGTCGACAGTATTCTCTGTTATGTTTGTTAATTGCAAATTACAGCACCAAATAATTAATTTTAATTATTTATTGCTGATTACATTTCTGATTATGTCGACAGTATTCTCTGTTATGTTTGTTTATCTATCTATATGTGGAGGTCTAGTTCTACTCTCGAAAATATATGGTTTCAATTTGGGGTCTCTTAGGAACCCCTGTCGTAAAATTCTAAATAGTTAATCATAAGTATTTATGTCATAAAATTTACAATTACACACACAAGGACCAAGTACATTTGAAATGATATCAACCAAGCCTAAAAAACAAATAAAAAACATATGATAGAAACAAACTGATAGAATTGATATTTGCTAAAATTTATTGAATTCAGCTACCGATTCAGGTTAGCTTTTTTGAGATTTTTCTTCATAGCAGGAGCAGATAAATTACACAACTCTGAAGGCATATTATTCAGCAGATAAGGTACTAAATGAGAAAAGGATGCCTTGAAAAATGAACGATCTACAAGAATAGTTCTTTTTGTTCCTTAGGAATATGTTGTTAATAGTTTTCAAAATTCAAACATTCATGTTATGATCAGTTTTGTAGATTATTGTTCTCACCGTGCGAGTTTTTGTATGAAAACTTATCATTCAGATGTTTTTTTATATTACACTACAGTTGGAAATACTCTCAGCGAATGGGTAAAGTCAATTATCTAAGAGCATAAAAGGGGAAATGTTTATTTTGCACTCAAAAAAAACGTCTATAACAGTTCAGAATATTCGAGAGTATGTTTTGGAATATTGTGGAATGTTCAGGAATAGTTTGGAATGTTTGGGAACATTTCAGATCATTGTGAAACATTTCAGAACACTCTCGAATGTTATAGAATGTTCGGAAACATTAAGGATCATGCTCTTTGTGGATAGCATGACAGCAGGTAGAAAAGGGACGACGAATAATATTGACAATTTACCTATTTCAGGTACAGGTATTAGCACCCCAAACTACTTGAGTCAACATAAAAGTGTCTTACGCAGCCGTAATATCCAGTCATCGGAGATTACTCAGAATGTATAAACCTCTGATGAAGCTAGCCACTTGCGCCAGCGAAACGTCAGGAAGAAATTTAAAAAACCGGCGGCTTTCAAACCCAAAAATTAGTGACACTAATATCAAATCTTTCCTATTCCATAATATCTACAAACACGATAAAAATAATTTTATTATTATTAAATCATCTTTGGAAGATTAGATTTAGACTTGTCACTGCTCTCCTATTTTTTAAATTTCTTTTGAACCACTTTCGAATGTATGTGTAATTCAAAATAATAATGCATTTTTATTGTATGGATACTTACTGTTTAAAAAAACTCTGTTTTAAAATCTGTTTTTCCGTTAATCAGCTGTCGCCCCTATACCAACGGCAACTCTCAGAAGTTGAGAACTTGTGCGAGCTAAGGACTAACGAGGTCTTACCTTTTAACGTGTGATTCCTAACACTGTTTGTATTTTTCAGATAAGGGTGACCCAACAAACTGGAAATCCCCTGGCATAAGAGCAAAGGCACTTTTCGACTTCATCGCAACAGCACCCAATGAGCTCACTTTCCAAACCAACGACATGATCACCTTGGCCCCCACCTATATCCAAGAGGAAATGAACCTGAAAAATTCCGGCTGGGCCTTTGCGGTGTGCAAAGGGCAATCCGGGGTAGTACCGCTAAACCACTTAATCATAAATAAGAGTAGGCCGATACTGAATACTAACAAGGAAACCGATCCTCCGATACCCAGAGTTTATCCCAACGGCACGAAAACCCACACGAAGCGGGTTAGCTTTGGAGAAAACCAAATATTCGAGAATGTCGATTTGGACGATTATATGCCTAAGAAGGAACCAAGTCAGTCTAGTCAAGAGAAGAAAGACGGAGAGGGTGATAGTGAAAACTCTGTTATCAACAAAGTTGAAAATCGGTCTTGAGAAATTCATATTGAAATATTTATTTTCAAATAAGTAAAACCCAGAAGTCTTTGATGGGTTTTGTTCACTTATGTATTATATGAAGTTATAAGTTGGTTACAAAATCTCATCAGGATTTTCAGGTGAAAGGTGGCATAGAACTGATTTCATTCGTATCGAGGCAGCGAAAGCAAGATTTCACCGTGACGTTCGACTAAGTTGATTTGGATGTTGTCTTATAAATACTTCATTCATGGTCCGGGAAGGTAAACCGTTTAGGTAAAGAGAACAGTCTACTTAAAACACACTCAATGGCAATTATTATCCCTGTTCTTCTTGCTCGTCGTTGGTTACTTTAACAAAAAAACTCCCCTGAACAGTATCCATCGTTTTTTTTACTGTTATGCAAAGGAAACTGATTATTAGGTCATCATTCAAGAAATGAGTAAGAGGGAAAAGAGCATGCATGAGCGAACTGTAGAAATTTGAAAATTTTACCTTAATTTTGTAATTTCTTCATGCACTATATAGAGGGTATTTCAGAACTCATCCAGAATAGTTTGATGTTAGCAGGAAAAAGTTGTAATAAAAATCCTGAATAATCTGAGGCAGGGAATCAAAAGTATTCTTTTTTATTTTCAATTTGTATACTTTGAGAGACGACCAAAATAAACATTAGTATAAAATCGTTTATTTATCGTCGTTTTATAAAGACTAAAGACTACTTCTTGAAGAAAAATAGAAGAATAAATAGAAAGTAAATATTTTCAACAGTAAGAAACAGCTTTCCAAAAAACTTCATGTCGCCCACTTTTCTGTATATTCAGCAACTGTTGAATCCAAATCCGAACAAAACAAAAAAGTCGAATTGAAACATTCACAGAAGTTATCAAGAAGATTCATCTGACAGAGTAGTAAACACAATCTTCCTGAAAAGTCGGATTCAAAGATTTGCCCCTCGTTTCATAGGTCATGCGCATCAAGACGCTCAGGAATTCCTTCGTTATCTTTTAGAAGGTTTACATGAGGACATCGATACAATTATTGAGAAACCTAAACTAATCCTAATGAAGGTTCACGAAAAATTGAGTGACAGCATAAAAGCAGAAGAGTTTTGACCGGGATATTTGAGGATGGGCAACTCAAAGATTGTAATTTCAAAAACTATACCTCACGATTTGATCAATCATTTGACAAAGCTACTGTGCTAGCGAAATATGTGATATATTTTTCAAATAAAGTTTGTAGAGATCAAATAGTGAGGTGTAGTTTTTGAAATTACTATGGATCTTCATCAAGTAACGGCCGAATCAATCCAAAAATCAAAGATGTGTCAATCATTGGTCAATTAAAATCCATGTTGAAGTGCATACACTGTGGACAGTCATCAGTAACCTTCAATCCTTTCTGAGATATGACTCTCCCCATACCATGAAGAACTGTCCAACTGGGACTGTCGCAATGCTTAGATTCCTTTACAACAGAGTAAACTCTGGATGGAGATGAAAAACTGACATTTTCGAAATGCACGGAAAGGAGAAAATGCACAAAGTCCTATCAATTCATAAGTTTTCCTATATTTTAGTAATTCATTTAAAAAGATTATCTGCCATTGATTTTCCTCTAGAATAATTAGATATGAGCATTATTATTATATTAATTATGCATGAGCAATTATGTGTGTATTACAAAGCATACTGTGGACAATACGAAGTTCTATTGGTTTGTTTTCCCATTGTAGAAAATAATTCTGTAGAATAAAATAGTCTATAGTCTTTTTTAGCCGACTATAACCTATTAATGTTCTCTGGATGAAATATTTCAACTCGATTTTCAAGCGAACACCATTTATCAAAGTGTGAATCGAAATTATCCAGAATAAATTTTTTGACTTCATTGCATTAATGGATCTCTGGATAGCTGATGAATATTATTAAAAAGATTGTTCCCCAAAATAAAGTTTCAAAATTTCAGAGTCTCAGTTCTTCATCTGTCGTCTATTATTGCTGCCTCCAGAATTTTGCCAATTGATATATTTTTCTTCAATGAAATCCTACAATTTCGCTGATTAAATAATTTGTTTTTCATTCATTGCTGTTTAAAAAGCATGCCATTGAAATTTTGAGTTACAATCACTATTTCGAAGAAACTATGATATTGAAATTGGTGAATATTCAACTGCATTTATGAATGTTAATTATTAGGGGTCAATGAAATGTAAATAATATGGAAAGATACTTAAAATATAAATTTCTGATTGATTTTGCCGTTACATGATGAAGGTCCATAGTAATTTCATTAAGTACACCTTTGGATTTGATCTTCTCAAACGTCATTTTCAAAATATATATCACTTATATTTTTTGATATATTTTTTGAAAATAAAGTTTGTAGTAAAGATCAATTCGTAAGGTGTAGTTTATGAAATTGAAATATAAATCAGGAGAAGTTCTGAATTGCCTTGTATATACGCAAAATCTCATTAAAAATGGTATTGATTCTGCAACTTACTAGAAGAATTTGCTGTGCCGCCATGTAAAATGGTTTTTTCCTCATATCAATCCATAGTATATAATTGTGATTTCCTAAAATCAGGTGGCATTTTATAACTCTCCACTCTTCGGTGGTGTTTGGGGTGGAAGACAGTATTTTTACAAAAAAAAATCCAAGCCCTCGATCCGAGGTGAACACTTGATATTAATTTTAATAATGTATATCTTTTGTTGGTGAAAAGTTAATTTTAATGCTGAACATTGTGTGTTAGTTTTAAGTTTCAATCTCATCAGAAGTTTTTACACTGTTTTTTATTGGGAACTGTTTTAAATAAAGCAATTGTTATAAAAAGCATATGTTTGTTTTCATTACTAGTTCTATAACACTTTAAATGACTTCCTGCTTAATAGGTATTTTGACTTCATTCAGATAGAAATATAATTTTTTGCCAAACTCTAGTTTTCATTATGGGAATCCTAAAAACCAGTATTTTTCTTCATTATTTTTATTCAAGAAAATGAGTGTGTGATTCTGTCTCGTCGTATAATGAGAGTGAAACTGACAAACATTGAAAAACCTGATTTGGGCTGCTGCTGGGCAAGCATAAAGTATCTGCTCTGCTTTTTCAGCCTTCAAACAGTCATCATACTAGATCTGATGGTCTGATGGAAAAAAAAAGAATAATTCTTCCCAATCACCAGAACTTTATTACTCTTTTTAAAGCGCGCTTCACCAACAAACTTGGTGTCTTCAGCTGATGAAGGAAACTCCTGTACTTCCTATAGACCTCAAATTCTAGACCTGGTCACTTCTAATCACTAAGAATGTCAACTCCTCGTTTTCAGTTTCATACCAGGGCCCCGCTATCGATAGGGGCCCCCTCAGATCAAATACAAAATCCCTAGTTCCTGTCACATCACCAAACGATAACTAATATTTATTACCAAAAAACGTATATAATTCGAAGAAATGGAACCTAAATTACTGACAACTATAACAACTTACTAGCTTTTACATGCGCGAAGCTATTCTATTCCCGCCCAAAAATTAAGCTTTCCGAATCGTCTGCCAAAGAAAGAAACCCGGAATCTGACTACAAGGACCTGTCTCAAAGAAAACGAAAACGCAGAAGTTCTCGCCAAAGATTTTTTGATGGCTCTGCGCCGTCAGTCCAACTGAATTGAACAGAGAAATTTAAAATAGAAACCTTTCTTCCCATAATTGACCCCCTCAGCGTTTATTTAAAATAGCGATTGAGTTCGTAAAAATATCAGTAAACGTTTTGAATAATTTTTTTGCTTGAAAACTTTAAATTCTGAAGAGTTGAGACAAAGTTGCAAAGAATTTGCTGAATTTTATTATAAAGATATTCATGAGAAAAGGTTAGAAATAGAATATTTGCATTCAACAGGATACTTGAAAATTGTTGACAGCGAAAATGAGGATTGTATATTAAAAATATATCAACTTTTGAAAGAAAACAAAACCTGTAAATGCTAAAAAGTTACTTTTGTGGACTATATTACATTTATCTATTCGTTTCATGTGATTGTTAATAATAATAAATATTTAACCTTGTTTATCTACTTTCTTTGTCTATTCTAACAAAATAGTGTTCTGTCAAATCATAGGGGCCCCATTATCCTATTATGCCCAGGGCCTTTAATAGCCTAAAGACGGCCCTGGATACAATATAGTAGACTACATATTTAGAAATAAGTATCATGTTAAAATTCATATTGCATGTACATGGTATAGGACATATATAAACTTAAAATTCGGGAATCTATTATTAAGAGTTGAAAGAAAATCACAAAACGCAATACATCATCTACTCACAGTTCAAAAAATGAGGTAGATGTTCAATTTCGCGGGCTACGTCATTCGATTAGCAATTTTTTTATGTTGGTACACTCGTCTTGGACAAATGTTCACAGTTTCAGCACATGTTCAGTTTGTTGGTGAGAGGCATAAAAGTTGGAAGTGTTTTGTATGTTCGGTGATTTTCTGCTATCGAAAAAATGTATTGGAGAATTTGCATCCAAATTTTGTGTGAAAAATCGAATTAAGTGCTAAGAAATATTTGAAATGTTGACAGTGGCATACGGTGATTGTACTCTGAGTCAAAAAATGTGTACAAGTGATACAAGCTTTTCACAAAAGGTCGAGAAGATGTGAATTAAATCGCTCGTCCTGGACGCCCCAGAACATCAACAACCGATGAAAATTTCAGAAAGTGAAGAAAATTGTCATGTAGAATCATCGTATCACCATTAAAGAGAAGTTGCTGAGGATGTCGGCATATCGGTTGGCTCATACCCTGCAATTTTTTTTATAAATTTTGGGCATGAAGCGTGTGGCAACGAAGTTCTTTCCAAAATTGCTGAATTTGATCAAAAAAATCATCGCACAAGTAGCGCCCGGGAATTGTTGACTGCTATTGTGATGCTAATTTGGTAGCGTATTTTGTTATATTTATTTAAAGGCAAAGGTTCCAGTTTAGATCGAAATCAAAAGCGGATTATTACTCAATTTCAAATTATTTTCCATTTCACTGTAACTTTCCTTAGTTATCTCACCCTGCAAACTCCTAATTAGGATTTCTCTATCAAAATACTATCCTGATAAAAAACAGCTATAGATTTCATATTGAAATTTGTTTCTCTCACCAAACAACCTGAAATTAGTGATGTGAATAATTTAATTATTTTCAAAAATCGAAATATTGGTGATGAAATCAGCGCCCTATCTAGGGGGGCAAACCGGGCAATTGCCCGAGGCAGCAAAATTGAGGGCGGTGCAGCGTCGGCGGCGAAAATTTGAAAGGCGATTAAACAAAAAAAAAACAACCCCAAACAACAAAAGTTGTTAGAGTATTACTATTGACAGCACCGAAATTTCACTTCATATTTTAGTAGATTACAAAAATAAAATGTGGTCACACTTCAAGCTGTGCTGGATTTGAATAAATATCTTAAAACGAAACTTATTTTGTTTCATTAATATCGGCAGGGAAAAGTTGTCTTTTTATAGGTTAAAATTACACCATCTATGGAATAACGCAGCAAATATTTTGCCCGGAGCGGCGAAATAGCTGGATTGGGCGCTGAACCAATTCATCATTCAAATTATTAATCACTAGCGAAGAGCAGGCGAAGTACTCTTATCAATTGTTCACTGATTTAGAATCACTTCTGCCGAGAGCTGAATATGATTTAGGTTGGTTTCCTTTAAAAATTATGTTTTAAAAACTAAAAACATTCCAATAAAAGTGGGGTTTTTATTTGGCAATACTACCAATTCAACACGTATGGAGAGAATTTTATATTGCATGCTTTCTTTACTGATCTTTTTTCCAGAATTCTTATACGGAGCTGTGTTTTTTTGACAATGATCACGAATCATGTTTCATCTGAAGGAGCCTATTCTGGTGATTGGGAAAAGTACTTGTTTTGGACAAAAACAGTATTCATGAACTTAACGTGTTACATATGTTCAAATGATTAGCGTTAAAAAAATAGTTCTATCTCTGTTTCGAGTTCTGCGCTTGTGTTTAATTATATAGTTCATGTATTTTTGTACACTCTGAGTTTATGGGATTTTGATTGATTATGTCACTTTTATGCCACTTGAAAAAAAGACTGAATAAAATTAGTACTTTTACTGTATTTCTCATCCATATTTGTCCTAAATTCGACGTATTGAGTCACCGGGTGGGTGAATTTAGAATATATTTAATAGCGATTTTGAATGTCAAATCAATTTGAATGTTTATAATCGAATCACTATGTTGAATTATTATGATAATCGAATTAACAATTTCTTTCAATTTGAATTAGCCCATCACTACTTGAACTAACTTTATTATCACAGGAAGGAATGATGACAATCCAGAATGAGTCTAGACAACCAACGAAGTGATTCTTTAGAATTTTTGCAATAATCCAGGCCATTTCATACAATTATTCAAATCTCAATAGTTGGTTTGGATATTTATTCAATCTTTTGTACATTTCTTCACATTGTGGTATACTTTTGGAAAACTTTGTCAGAAGAACCATAAAATAATGAATAATATACAACAATTGTTGATCTATTTTCCAGATACAACTGCTCCTGTCAGAGATGTCAAACTTCCTACTACAATATTCAATGTTTAGATACATATGACTTGTATAAGAAAAATATTGGTGTTAATAAAACATTGACACAGGAAATAACATAAGAACGAAATAAATTTATTACAATAAGCACTATTTATTCTAGAGCACATAACAGTAATACAAATTATACAGGAGCTTTGTGTACAAGATTGAACCAGTGCCCACACTCACAACGTTTGGGCTCCCCCTTGTGCAACCACATCCAAGTTATGCATGTCGCATCTTCCTCGCAGATGCAACCTACTAAGCGAGCTTCGAAAGCTGATGGAATTTCGTTGGGCTGCGCTTTGGTTCCAGCTCCTCTTTTGAGAACTTTAACGTCAAATGGGTCTTCGTTACCCGCAACTTTAGCCAGCAGTTCACGTTTTTCTAGACCAGTAGCATGTTCGAGAGGGTCGCCCATGGGCACTGTTGGGGAAAAAAGAGGTTAGATCAGCTGAACTTGAAAATACGCTTTTGACTGGAGTTTAAAAAAGTATATAGTGTTGAAACTGCCTTTCAATGAAAATAGGTCCTGATTTAATATCCCTGCAATCTTCTAACAATTTCCTTTCATTTTCCCTAAATTACGTAATGTCAAATTCGAGGAAAATCTTTGGATAGGCTGAAGTTATCTCAGTTGGACAATATTTTACACTTACCTTTAGCAGAGGCGAACCTATAAGTAGTTGAAAGAACATGTTTTCTTGTAGAAAGTGCTAGTCTTGCACATAAAGATGCCATTTTGGCAGTTTCAAAGAGAAAATAAATCGAGGCTCAAGGCAAACGTCGTTCAATACCAAACACAATTACTTACAGAGATCGCCACAATCGCCGTTAGGGTGAGTTCCGAACTATTCAGTCATTTTCATCTAGTTGTTCCGATTCATTCCAGAACAGAACTTGAGTGTAGTTATACTAATATTTTCAACTTTATAACAATATCGAAATTATTACTGAACTTGATTTCAAACCCACTACTTAATTGAAACTTTGAAAAATCTGAAAAATTTGTTTAAAGGGAGCTCGTGAAGTATCTTAAAATACATTATAGAAAACGTAAAGCGGATAAATATACTCCATTATAACGTTAAATGATCGAAATTGATAATATAGTATAAGACACACATACGGTGGCGTAATGCTACAATTTCAAAACGTACTCTATCATAATATTCACCATATTAACGTACTTCATTGTAACGAACTTTATCGTAATCGAATTGAATTATAAATACATTTCGTCATATCAGTATCTTATCACATTCCTAAGCCATTATAACCGAATTACAAAGAATTCGAAATGCATCAAAATCGTAATGAATCACAAATTTTTTCGATCATAATCGTGTACATCAGCAAAATCACATAGTTCGTATGCTTGAATACAATATTGAATTAAAAAAAATCTTTATATTTGTTTCAAATGAATTCAATGAAGAAATCGTATCTAAATCTTATTTGAAACGTGTTTTGCAACACGGTAACTTCATCATTTACTGGTACATCAAACTATTCTACAATATCTTTTATATAGCAGTAACAGTGAAAGGTAACAATAACAAAACTTAATAATTTGTATTTTATTAATAAAAAGAGTGTCCCATGTAAAACGGTTCTTACAGTTTTGACAATATTTCAAAAAAAGTTTTTCAGTTGATTTGCAAAATCAAACTCTCGGAGGTTAGGGCATTAGTGGCTTCACAAATAAATGATTTCTTTAGACTTCAATTTTCATTATAAATAAGAAAAAATAATTTTGTAGATTCGATCTTTTCTGTTTTAACATTAGTAAAATGTGTTTTTTGGTGACTGCACAGATAGTAAAATTTGACAGAACTCACATGTTAATGAACACCAGGTTTACAAATGGAAAACGCCCTTAACAAAGTTATATGGCACATATTAATATGTGGTTTGACATTTTTTTAAAATGGAATTCATCTCGACATAACTGCACCCCTGTAATATATTAATATATATATTCATTACTGTGAGCTGAACACTGATTATATTATCTAAAACTATCAGTACAAGAGAAATGCAGCTCTGTGTGTATAACGCACGTTGTTGGTCAGGAATTTATCCACTTTTCAGCATTTTTCCAACAATTGAGTTAAGATACATTATTAGTAACTCTGAAAGTATATAATTGGTGGTCCTGAGATAATCACCGCAACCACACATTGGTAATTAAAGGGTTTTGGAACATTTTTTTCAAGGGAATATCTGAAATGAAAATCCAGTTCTACAAGTCAGTATAAATACACTGATTTTTCAAATTATTTTAATAAACATTCAAAAGATCAATTTACAAATAGGGTTCTGGAAATTCGAAAGTAACTTCCCTTCCAGTCAATTTCTTGTATACTGATGCAAATGTGTCCACCTGAAAATTAAAAAAAAATATTTCACACTTATACAGTCAAATATTACTAAAATATACACATATGTACAATGAACGTTAAGTTTGTGGAATTTCAGTGCAATTAGATTTGATTCTTTCCCTATCAAAGACGATTGAATTTCATCGGTTGTTAGTGGACTATAATTTTGTGGAATCATGACACCTGCTTCAACACATGTTCTTTTCAAATCTATATTCTACCCCATGTGTTCAGTGTTATGATTGTGAAAATTTTTCCCACTTTAAATTTTATTAATTTTACAAACACTACAGGAAAATCCTTTTAGAGCAGTGCCTGTACGAAAGTAGTGATTCACTTTGGATTTGAATCGTTACTTATAATTATTATTAGTTTTCCTAACTGACCCTATAAGTGATATTATTTTTGGGATCAGCATCTTACATAACGTACAGTATGAAAATTATGAATGGACTATCCCGTTACTTGATGAAAATAATTATTAACACTATCGATGATAATAATTACACAATTTTCAAAAACATTTTTTCATTTCTAGACGCTTGTACCATAGCTACCTCGGTAGAAATGAATATTACACACCATGCTATACTACAGTAGTAGATACCTAACCTAATTTGTTGATAGTAATGAGATAACAGGTAGAATTCGTAAACCAATTACAATCTCAGTTTTTTTTACAGCAGGTAACTTTTTTCAATATGAATAAAATTATTGGCATTATGAAAAAAAGTTCAACAATGGTGAATGGTCAACCTCTTGTTGGTCATTCGACAGGAAACCTGAACGTTTAACCTTATTAATTTCGAGCAGGTTCCACTGCTGCTGCATACCCTCTACAAGGAGTATGTCGTACATAGTGTTGAAAGGATCATTCTCCAAAAGGCTGCACGCATAGGTGTAAATGGTCTTTTTCAATTCAAAAATTCATCCATTCTAAGAGGTTCTTGTGTTAAAATTTCTCGAAGTCCTTCTTACATACACTCTTTGACATGATCCGCATTGTTAGTTTGTTTACACCCAATCTGTTATCCTTGTCTATGTATGACTTGTTCTTTATATGTCTACCCAAGAAGTTACCAGTCTTGTATGCTATGTTAACATTTTGTTTATTCAGTAGACTTTTCATTTTATCTTGATGTTTTGCCGGTACACGTGAGTGTCTTGAAGGTGTGATTATTATATACTCTGATGAGCTGCTAATTTATGTTGCTGTGGGTGATTAAAATAGATGTTTGTAGTTCTGTATGTATGAGTAAGTTTATGGTAAATTGTGAAATTATGTTTGTTAGTAATTTTTGAAATCGTGAGGTCTAAAATGTTCAACAAATTATTGGTTTCCACTTCTATTGTGAATTTAATGTATCTAAGAATATATTTGATTTATTGGAAAAATAACTAATTGTCTATGTGTTCCTGTGAAACAAGCTATCACATCGTCAACATACCTATACCAGTAAATACATTTTTGGAAAACCGCATGTCTGCAAACTAATGTGCGGATCTTGCCCAAATGTGTATATAGGAAAGACTTCAAGAAATTTCGAAACGAGAATCTCCAAACATAATAGAAATTATGAAGAAAACCAATTCAACCTAGTGTGCCAACTTTTGAAGAACATTCACGCTTTTAACACCATGTATGACATATTCCATGTAGAAGGTAAGGGACAAAAGTTGAATTCGCTACAGTCTCTGGAAATAAATAAGAGTGGAGGTTTGGGATCACTCTTAGTCATTTTCAGGTTAACATTCACCGTTGTTGATCCTTTTTTTCATAGTACCAATAATTTTATTCATATTATTATTGAATTCTACTTGATACCGCTTTCAATATTACCCAATTAAGTTAGACACCTACTACTATTGTATATAAGAATTATAGCCCAATGCGTAGTAATCATTTCTACCAAGAAAGCTACGGTGTTAGCGAAACACATCTAGAAATACAAAATGTTTGTGAAAATTGTTCAGCACTTATGAACAAATTTTTCGATTTAGTAAAGTAACCAAGATTTTGTCAACTCGTTTCAAATAAAGAGATATTTTTGAATCCACAATTCATATTTAAACAGACTCGCAATGGTGAGAAACCCCAATTATTCAAAAGAATCTCTACATAACTATCACCATATACCAGTCCATTACATTTTGAAGGCATATTTCTTGAGTGTAGACACACGAGGTCTGTTTAAAATATAAGGTGAATGTTCAAATTTAAAGGCTACGATTTTCTTTGATATGAAATATCTCTTCAGTACCCGTATGTATTGTGGGTTGAAAAAAATCTGTTCAGTCACATGAGCATCACTCAGGAATTATTGAATGACGTTAATGTTGATCCAGATTTGCTTAAAAGGGTCATAACTGGCAAAAAGTTATGGGTATACGGTTATAACAACAAAACCAAAAACAACACTGTAATCATGCCTCAGTCACAATATTCACCAGATTTGACCTCCTGTGACATTTCTGTTCCCAAAATTGAAAAGACCCATGAATAATGGTATTTTGTGACGATTGAGGTGATACAAACCGCAATGCTGAGATAGTGCAAAGACATTAAAATGTGCATATCAGAAATGCTTTCAGGATTGGAAAAGCCTCTGTCAAGATTGTATTATAATATCTAAGGGAGATTTATTTGAAGGTGTAAGTAGGTCCAAAGTGAGTGGGTCTATTCAACCCTCCACCGTAACCCACAAGGGTTTATTGTGGCTCACTCCTACTCACACTCCGCCAAATAAACCCAGCTTCTTAACAAAGCCGATTAGTTTGTATGAATGGTCTTTCAGGTCGGATGGTGAGGGTACAGATCTACCAAACTCAAAGAACCGGATTCGGTCCACAGCGGGGCAGGCACAAAGTATATGCCCTGCTGTTTCATCATTTTCCAGACATAGGCGACACACACTGTCTTCCGACAGTCCAAATTTCAGCATATGATGATTCAAATGACGGTGACCTGTAAGAAGGCCTGTTACACATCGTAGTTCATCCCTACTGTAGTCCAAGGGTGAATAAATGTCTTGAAGTGAGCCAATCCTGGAAGATTCTGCCAGAAGAAGTGCCAATCTTCTTGCTATCCAGGTGTTCAGAGTTTGATTGGCAAAACCCAAAGCGATGCCAACGACAGGTTCTGGTCCAATGAAGCTGCTTGCAGCACCCTCCTTTACAAGAAAGTCCGCAGCTTCAGTGCCTTCTAGGCCAGGAATCCAGACCAGAGACAATCTGTTGAGTCTTCCTATCGAGGAGAGTCATTTTTGGCAGTTTGCTACCAATTTAGACGTTGCTCAGTAGGAGCCAAGAGTTTCCAACGCCGCTTGACTGTCCGAGAATATTTTTGTTGACTTGTGAGCGAGGTTGGATTTATCCAATCTCTCCGCACACAATTGAATAGTGTAAATTTCCGCTTGAAATACAGTCGCAAAGTTCCTAAGCAGGTAGATAGCTCTGTCCTGTCCTTTGAAGGGGACAAAATTTTATGAATTTTTTTTTGTGAAAAAAAATGAAAATTCTCCTGATCCTTTCAACAGATCTCGTAATCAGTTGTATTTTGGGGAACTTACCTTATGCTCAATTGTGGTCTGTTGATTTTTGTCAAGGTGGACTTTAATGAGTTGTGAGCCGTCTAACCTCACACGAATACGTTTACCAACAATTTCCGCAGGAAACACAAGGTCTTCCAAAATAGCATCATACACTGAAGTAAGTGTACGAGACCTTGGTCGTTTCTGTTTATTTGCAGCACGAGTTTTACGTGTTGGCTTGGGAAGAATTTTTCGTTCACCTACAAACACCACATGTTTGCCACTGAACTTCTTTTCCAGCTCACGTACAAGCCTTGCTTGGACTTTCTGGAACTGTTTCAACTTGGGCATTGGAACATAGATGATAACGGACTGAAAAAAAAATGATATTTATAATTCGTTGGTAAGAATAGTAAATAAACTCACTTTTTTATTGTTCAACTCAATTTCTCTTGCTTTAGTAATGTGTAATTCCCTAAGCTGAGCTTTGAGGTCCGAATTCATTTCTAAATCAAGCAGAGCTTGAGCAACTTGCGTTTCGAAGGCATCGGGCTCAGCCCCGCCGGACTTGATGATTTTCGACGACATCTGAAACAAAAACAATATATAAACATTGCCAGGAATTCCAAAAATGTGAGAAGAGCAGACTAATGTTGGTCTAAAACTTGTTTCGAATATAAATTCTGAAATTTTACAAACTTCAACAAACCAACGATTGAAACTTTGAAATATAGGTAATGGAACACAAATCAGCCGACTCAGGTTAATCACAAGAAATCACACACAAAACCTTACAATCGGACTATATTCTGCAGAGAAAACACTAATATATTGTTTCGACCAGTGGTATTCGTGGATATTTACTTTACATCATGCAAAAATTACAGGAAAAATTTACTTTAATACAGGAACGAAACGTGTACCTTGTCAATCGTTCATAAAAGGAAGGAAAAAAGTTTGTTGCAACAAAATTCTTCTTCTCACACAAATGACAAAATGTGAGCTCAGTGCTACCACCAATAAAAATGACACGGTGCTTCCACAGGTATGTTCCCATGATTATATTTTCAAACTAGATTTTGCTTTTAAAATCTACATGATATGTAAACTATCTAAAGTAACGTTATGAAGAGAAATGATTTGTTTGTTTGTAACAAATGAAGTAAAACAACCACTTAACCGGTTTTAAAAATTCTCTCACTATTAGATAACTTCATTATCAGCGAGTATAATTGTGTCGTATTATAATTTCAAAAAATCAGAAATTTCGAAAAAATTGTGATGATATACCATATTCAAAAAAAATTGGCTACAAATGTCAATCATTTGGAGTGCGCTTCGCAAGGAGAATCTAGTTTGTCTTATAGTAATTCATCGATCTGTCTTGAAAAGAGTAGCGATAAATGATAAAATATTCAAACATCCCAGTGGGGAGAAAATATTCTTAGTATGTCCGTTATTACAACCATTTCACAGACTACGTCTTTGACATATGAATGTCAAACATTGCATTACATTGCATTGTTTGTTTGCGCAAAAGCAAAGAAGTACAGTCCTCGAAACGTGACAATTAATGTCGATCGTTCAAATCGTGGAGCATCCACTTTTTGAGACTCCTGACCTTTCTAATTCGTTTTAAATCATCAAAAACCACATGGGAACTGAAGCCCAGTTCTTCTTCCATCCCACGCACCGTTTATTATGAGTCAGTCCCCACCAGGGTCCTCAAATCCTCGTCTTTGATTACTGTAGGTCGACCACATCGAGGATCATCTTTGAGGCTAAAATTTCCAGAGCGAAATTTAAAAAATCAGTGTCGTTCATTAACACTACGCGGTTGAGCTGACAGCTGACAGATTGTGTTTGCGAACTTTTGGTCACAGAATACAGGATATTCTGGGTTTTCGAGTTTTCATATTATAAAATTGGTCACCGTACTTGGTGTACTTTTTGATTATAAATAAACTATAAATAAATAAATTAGAAGCCAAAGCCACAAAAGTTGAGAGAGAGAATAAATTAAAAATGCCTGATTGTAATTCCAACTACGAAAGTGAAATCAACGACGGAAAGAATGCAAGAAATGTTAAATGTAAATTCTGCAATTCTACAATTTTAACGCCATCCACAGCTTCATTCACTAGTTTTGAGGTTAGAATTATTTTGATTGAAATTCCTCAAGGTGGAGTCTTGCACCTGTCTCGAGTCGTAAATAGTTGGATTATTGATTTTCAGTAGCAACATTTTCTTGCACATGTATAGATATATTAAATAAATCCTCAATATATCTGTGCATGAATAATTGTAAGTTTTCAACACATGAAAAACATGAATACAAGGGTCTTGAAACTTGCGAGTTACGACTTGAGATTAGTACATCATTCCATCCTGACACCTCATTTACTTTACTTTATTATAGTTCCAACTACCACTCATCAGACAATCAAAATCGAATGAACAAAATCCAGAATCTGAGTGTGTATCCCTTTTTTGGTCGGTGTCTGACATGTTCACATTCCAAAACGTGGGGTTCTCCAACACAGTGGGCAACAATAAATACCTAACCTGCGCTGACTGTGAAGCAGGACCCATTGGATATCATGATATACCTAGTAAAATGAGTTATGTAGCCCTTAGTAGAGTAGTACACTGTTGAGTATACTAAATTAGGAAATATATTACATCTTTTTAACACTGAACAAAGAAGATAATTCATAGACTAGTGGCAAGGATAAAAACTCAATTCCATTCTATGTAGAATTGATTTAAGGTGGATTTGTGCTAAAGGTACATATAAGTTGGCCAACATGAATTCTTATGACTTGTTGATAAGGATAATATAGCATATAGCAAAAATTAAATTAACACTAATTGAAATAAATTGTCATTAAGAAGTATTTCTATCTTATACCATACAAAATAGTTGAGAAAAATATAAGTTTCTGGCACTTGACATCCTGGTATTTTCATCTTTATATAATTTGTTGTTTGTGTTATACAAATTAGGAGACTGCCTCAATGAATCAGTTTTGTAGAATACAATTTTGGTAGACAGTTTACAATGAATGATCAACAGAAAAAATTTGAAATCATTCAAATATGTTTTTTAGTGATAACATAGATCTCAGGGAACACCCTATATTAAGGAGATGACATTGAAGTGTGTGCAGAAAAATGCCCAAAAGGATCGACGATGTAAATTCAATTCGTGCTGCAAAGAAAAATGTGCAAAAGCAATATTGCTTCCTTCTTTTCTTTGGAAGATTCCTACATTTTCTGTATGAAAATGGAGAAGTAAAAAGCCAAAACCTTACTTTCCTTTGTAGCCTCTTGGTTAATATTAATGTGAATGGTAGTTTAGGCTGTATACTACCACTCTTACAGCTTAACATTGGTGAGTGGATCCACCTTTACACCTCAGCAATTCAAATTTGAAATATACTTTACTGTTTACAACATTTCCTGTAGGGAAAATATAAAAACTCTACCTTGATTATAAATATGATACTTTGAGGAATATGTTCTGAAAAACTTATTATTGCCCATATAAAAGTAATTTTAAAAAAATGTTACAGGTCAAATTCAAACTATTAAATGCTACCCAAAATGGTTTTTGAAAAAGTATAATAATAATAAAAGCAAACTGTAAAGCTTCATGTTTAATCATCAACAGGTAACACAACAGAAACACAGTTTCATGATTAATTTAGATCTTCAGAAACTTACCGTCATCAGTCATAAAATACTGCTAAGTAAACTTTGGCCTTATGGAGGCAATTATTTTTTAATATAAGCAAACTGATAGTTGCAAATTTTAATTTATAGAAAAAAAAATCGAAATTTTAGTCACTACATGCTTGATTGTATGTTTTTATTGAAATTGAGGTTTTTTGATGATTTTGATGATTCATATATTTAACCAATGAAAATTGAAACTGATTTGGTAATCAAAGCTCCAGGTTTTACTTTTATACAGATTAATAACCACACTTTTTAATAATATTTTTAATAAACTTATTCATCCACTTGATAAACTGTAAAACTCTGAAAAGTAAACTTGAAACACTTTTTCCTAAACAAAAGGCACTGATTAACACTTACACTGATCAATATTTCAATGATAATTGTAGAATTTGAAAAACTCCATTTTTTATTGAGTTTTATTCATGTTTGAAGAATTTCAAAAACCGATGACTATTGTCTGTATTGTAATACATGTTCGTAATATATGAAAGAGTATAGATATAAAATTTGACTTACATGGAACATTATCATCAACAACGGTGTTCTTCGAAGTTGCGGGATAAGACACTTTTCTTATCTCCTCATCAGCACTTTTATGGACATTATAAGAGAAAGCACTCATATCAGTCATAACATTACGATTGTATGTCACCGGAAACGACAACTCTGCTCTTTTCACTATAACATTTCGTTTCAACATTCATAGGGTTAGTTATAGGAATTGTATTTAAATAGAAGATAAATATTTTTAGGGAAGATTACTTTTTTGAAAAAATCTACTTCTCCATCACTGAATAAAAAATGTGAGAAATTTTCAAAGAAAGGAATGAAGAAAGTAACTACTGTAAAATTTCTTCATGAAGATTTATAAATCAGACACAAAAGTGCCTGACAAAAAAATCCTTTTGAAAAAACTGTTTCACATGAACGTTGAATTACACGTTAGAAGAAGGTCTCTTTGAAACAACAACTTTTTTGTTAACATTGAATTACAAAAAAATCACTTCCCATTCAGTTTATACTCCAAACATTCGTTATGGAATTGAGAAAAATATTCAAAAAAACTCTACATAACGTAATAGGTACAGCTACCAGACTGAGTCATGGTGGGTGGGAGTAATCGTAACTGCTTCAAGTTTGGGTCGGTGTATTACAAAGAAAGTATTAGAAAAAAGGAATAGAAACTTTGGTTTGCAATCCTATGTAGTACGGCTCGAATAATCTAACAGACTGATTTCTACACATGTGCTGCACATCTTGAGGGAGGGGCTCCTCACCAGTCATGACTCAGTTCGGCAACTGTATATGAAAGAGTATTAACATAAAATTTCACTTAAATATATTACATTGTGTAGCATTCTGTTAAAAGTTAAACAGTGTCTACCGTTTTTTTTAAGACAACATAAAATATAAGGTGGTCATGCTGTGATGTCATATGCTTGTCATGCACTACTGTCACTTTTGTCTAAAATAAAATAAAAAATGTAAAAATGTCAATAAAACTCTCAGTCATTTTCCTATAAGTAAAAGAAAAGGAGTCACGCTCAAAGCCAGAATAAATCAATATTCAAACACATTCCCATGAATTATACTTCTTTCAATTCCTTAATGAATGTTGTGTATTTCATTTTTGTTTTTAAAATCACTTCTTCCCATTCAGTTTATACTCCAAACATTCGTTATGGAATTGAGAAAAATATTCGAGGAAACTCTACATAACGTAATAGGTACAGCTACCAGACTGAGTCATGGTGGGTGGGAGAAATCGTAACTGCTTCAAGTTTGAGTCGGTGTATTACAAAGAAAGTATTAGAAAAAAGGAATATAAACTTTTGTTTGCAATTCTTTGTAGTACGGCTCGAATAATCTAACAGACTGATAACAGATTTCTATACATCTACTACACATCTTGAGGGAGGGGCTCCTCACCGGTCATGACTCAGTTCGGCAACTGTATATGATAGAGTATTAACATAAAATTTCACTTAAATATATTACATTGTGTAGCATTACCATGAATTATATTTCTTTCAATTCCTTAATGAATGTTGTGTATTTCATTTTTGTTTTTTTTAAACCAGTAGCTTAGGTAGTATTACATCCTCGTCAGATATACCTGAGGATACTACATCAAAATGTATTATATACTCATTTAAAGTGATACATAAGTAATCGAACTTTGTTGCTATATGCCGTATTACATGTTTGTAATATCAAAGAAGTTGAATGAAAATGGCCCACAAACTCAAAAATTAGTAACCTCTCTTTTATGATAACATTGGTTGAAACAGCTATAAACGAAATTTCATGTTTATGTAAATTCAGGGATAAGAAATGACGTACTGTTCTTCCAAAGTTGAACTTTATTGTATTTAAAAATAAAATCAATATATTATTTACAGTTATATAGGAAATATAAAAGTATCATGATTCTTATTACCTAGATCTTATTTACAATAATATATTATACAAAATAATGTTTAAAAATTTAAAACATACAATTTGAAAATTTTATTGGCAGGATAAGAAATATTATATAAATATCTAAATGAAAATGATGAATGAAAAGAATGAGATTATGGGAGAAATATGAATCCAGTTTGGCAAACAATTAATTTTGTATTAGTTCTTAAAAAAAACATGTATAATGTTATTCGACTTTTTTTTAAATACATAAATTTTTTTAGAATAAAAGTAATTCTATTGAGGAGTTTTATGCCGTACACATATCAACTTAGAATCATAAAAAGGCTTGTTTTTAATTATTTATTTGATTTCATAAATATAATTCTGCTTATCATACATTTACATTTTTACAAATACATGGTGTGTGTTAATAAGTTGTGAAAAGATTTGTAGTTTCTATGAATTTGAGATAAGTTTTTAACCCAGTTGACGAAGACCTTCTGTAAGGATCAATAACTCTTTTACTTCTCATATTCATGTTGAATAAAGAAAATTCGCTATATTTATATCTACATTCAGTTAGGCTCCTGGTTCTAATGGTATTTGAGATCAATAAAGGTTGTATCAATTTTCCTTTTGTTAATTTTCGAATCTTGACATTTTATTTCGGCAGTGAACATTCGATTTCATTCAAAGAAGTGGTGAGATTTTAGTATGCGTTCATTAAAAAAATCTTGCAAATATAGATGAGTTATTTTACAAAGATTTTACGCATATTATTGTTGATCCTTAATAAATTTGGCTAAATATTGAAAACTTCGTCAATAATTTGAAACACCCTAAAATTGCTAAATAAAGAAACGGATCTTAATTTCATTAATTTGACAGGTATTTCTTGCAAGTAAAGACTAGAACCATCAATAAAGATGACTAACCGAAAAAGTTGAAAATGAATTATATTCGAAAATTCAGTATGCTTATTTTCAAAAACTACTGCCATAGAGAGAGACAGAAGAAACTATCGTTACAGTTTGGAGAGGTACCAACTATACTTTGATGGCATCAGTCAAGTGACCGAATGGGAGCACAGAACTCATAATTATTTTATGTCGATATCATTATGAGTTCTGTGACTAAGATATAGTTGAGAATTAATCTCTCTTATACCCTTTCAATTTATATATAGTTAGGAGTTCTGTAAATGGGATACGGCAAATTAACGCTGTCATAACCATAAATTTCGAAGTAATAGACGAGTGCTTCAAACAATGAACAAGAAAACAATAATGTGTAGTATGCTCATATAGTTTTATGCAATATATGATATTTGTAGAAGAGGTTTTTTTAAAAATGAAGGTTTCTCAACATTTCCTGGGAAAATGGGTATATGCCTGGCTGTAACGGATTACATAATTCCTACACCAAGATTTTCGCCAACGCAGTCACTCAACTTTTTCATTCTTGAAACACCCCCACGCTTGATTACAAATTATTGTTTGGCCGCCCTTATGCTAAAATAACCCCATCAAAACTTGACTACTTTCTGCCTGTGAGACTTCAGCCACAAATAAGCGCTGAACAGGCAGCTAGCTGTGAGGAGGGAGATCAGGACTGAGGATGAAAATACGAAGTTTTGCGTTGACAGGCAAACCGAGTCGTTAACGACAGTTCTTTCGGCAAGATCTTCGGGAAGCACTACTCGTAAGTGCTTGCCCATCATCACTCCGTCGTGTAGGGTGGCGTTGAAGCTGTAGAGGTCTCTCTTTCGGCGCTTCGCCGGTTCCAAGGCTTGGTCAGGATTGGGACACATCTCGCAGTCGGTTTTGCAGAGCTCGATGTTGCACTCAATCATGATATCCATGACGTCGGGGAACTTGAAGGCATTGAAGTAGGCGAAGGCGATGATGGTAGCTCCTGAAATGAGAAATTGTTATGGGTGAAAACGCCTCTGTTGAAGGTATAATCACATTTGTCAGTCATTTCTCAGTTCTGGCTTTGTCTCATTCAGTAAAAACCAGTCAGTAATTCTCATCTGCAGAATGTCTGTTTTTCCAGACGAAGAATTAGCTATGATAGATCATGCATCATTGAAAACTGATCATTGAACACAGGATCTCATGAAAGACGATTTTGATAAGAGAAAGTATTTTCAAGAACATATGATGTCAAAATTAGATAAAAAAGCGATCCAATAAGAACATGTTCTGTTTCTTGTTGAGTGCACCTACAAACTTTACGGTCATGTTAATTGTCAAATTTGCCGCTATTTATTAAGGAAAATGCTCACTGAATGAGTGAAGAACCTTGGTATGTAATACACCGTGAATATTATTGTTTGAGCAAGATACGTTTTAGCCATTTTGTTGCATTTCAAATTTCAAGAAACTTTCAACTGACAGTTTACCAGAACTGACAAATGACGAATGAAAATAGACAGCTAACGTTTCATAACTGAGAGTTAATGTATCAAAACTGATACAAAATTTACTGCTAAGCATGAAAATGGCCTGGCAATACTGGCTTCACAAACAAAATATGAAAAAGTTAATATGACTCGGCCGATAACTCATTACAACTCTTATTAACTATGAAGCGTTACGAAGTTCGCCGGGTCAGATGGTCTATAATATAATTGATGATACAAATTACGAAAATCAAATATTAATTGGCCATTAAAATAACCACATCACTTACCTGTATTGCCGGTATTCCTCGTCTTCTGGAACGCGCCGAACAACTTGGGTTTCAACACGCAACCGTTGTCGTCCGTCAATGGCACAATATTAGCTCCAGTCGAATCCGTAGCCCTGCAATCCTTAACTTGGATATCGAAACCAGGATCCCCAGAAACGGACACTACAAGAGTCATCGGCTCTCCGATCTTGACCAAGCCGGTAGCCGGCTGACCAAACGGACCTCTGCCCAATTGAATATCAAGTTTGGCCATGGCGGTGTCTCCACTGAAGGTGACGATCTCCTGGGTGAGCATTCCAACCATAAGGCTGACGCTGAGTTGCTCTTTGAGATTGCCTTCCCAAAGGCATCGGACCGAGCGGATAGTGTCCCAAATTTCCTGGATGCCTGCTTCGTTCTGGATGACGAGCACATTCTCTAGGTAGCTTTTTCCTAGGGTGTCGAAGGCGTTTATGAATTCGGTTCCTATGAGAGATAACGAAGACAATATATGAAATGATCATTTTATTTGTTCACTGTATTGATATGCGGCTGATATTAGGTCTTTATTTTACAGAGGGGAACATAAGAAGACGTTCATTTTTCAGCTAGGACACCTGATAACCAAGTTAGCATCACTATCATCAGGCATCATCAGGAGATACTCATCAAGAGATGAAATACTCATCAAGAGATGAGATACTCATCAAGAGATGAGTATCTCCTGATGATGCTAACTTGGTAAGCTGAGCGCTCGTCGAGAAACAATATTTGTGCTATGGTTTGCAAAAAGCGTTTTCAATAGAATGTTTTCGATTTACTGAACCAATTCAGTAGATAAGTAAAGCCAGTACGGTCCCAAAGATGGCCGATGTTTTGGCGGGAGATTCAAATTAGGTATTCCCGCATAATTTTGAACCTGGCGCGCATCCTGAGCCAGAACCACGTGACAGGCGTGTTATACTGACTCGGTGTCAACAACTTGAATGCCGAATGGTAGATAAATAAAAAGTTATTGTGATGTATTACTACAAAATTTCCTTACCACACATGTTCAAGTTGACAGTGAAAGTATACTTGGTTTGTCCTGAATTCTCATTGACATATCGGCACTCGGGCATGTTGAAGTAACCTTTCGAGTAAATCACCCCATCAAATACTCTGTTGAACTCCAGATTTATTGTCATCATCTCCTTGCCGCATTCGACATCTATGGCGTGAATGTGGGGTGGATGTCTCAGGTCATCGTCAATCACTGTACACAAGAAAATGAAATTGTAAATACTATAAATATTTGGTGATATGTTGATCGTTTTTTAAAGGTTAGAAAGTATTTCACAAGGTTTCTGATGAATCTATCATTTCTTCTGGTTTGAGTCTCATGGAAGGGTTTTCAAGAGATCAATAAGGTCTTCAGGGATTTACGTGGGTTAGTATTTTCAGTTATTCAGTGGTTACAATTGAGAAGGGTAAGTTATTCCAGTTTCCGTATTAGACAAGACAGTTACGTTATGTTGTGTGGGAAGGGGAAAGACGATGAGGGAATTAGTTTCATCGCGCCAAATGAGTTTTCATAAAGAGATGGACGACTAGAAATAGAGTATTAGTATTTGATTTGGCATTTCAGTGGTTTCTTCTATGTGAGTCACAGGGGTGCATGAGCCGACCTGCTTAAATCTCTATTATTTCTTTTTCCTCCATATTATTGGTAAAACTTTTATGAATTTAATAATTTTTTCAACTTTTGATTGATAGAAATTATATTAAACTGTACTTTGCGTTTTCTTAAATAAATCTATGGACTTGAAAATGATCTATTTAATAAGAACCAATCTGGAAAAATTAAAAGAAAGGATGGGAACACTCTGTTCACAGTAAATGTCGATGTACATGAAATTAACCATAGTTTGCCTCAGGGCTCCACACTGAGGTAATTTCTATATATGAATGAATCCACTTAATATGATTGATAGAAGCAAAATGTGATTCACAATAAACAAGTTGAACCCCAATAAAACTCAACAGATTATTTTCTGGAATTCCGATCAGTCAAGCTGTTGAAATTATTTTGGATGATAGCTTAGGTTGGCAAGTACAAATCAACTGTCTATGTAGTAAATTTTTCTCTATTTGCAGAAACCTTTGAAATTTACATTTTCATTCTTTATAATCCACTTACTATGCAGTATTTAAATCCCATTTGAATTATAAAGTCGATTGTTCCACAATTTCCCCTACTCAAGATGAGGTAGGGTAGAACAAATAAACTAAAACTCTGAACATTAAATAGGAATAATGGTTTCTTGGTTAGAGGATGTGAAAAAGCTAAGGTACAATTATATAATGCCAAATTAGAACATCAGTATGGTGAAAAAAAGTAACAAACCAAGCGCGTCTCTTAGGAGTTTGGTGCTATATCCTCCTGGTTACTTGGTTAGAGTAGTTGGAAAATAATGTTTCCAGATTAAAACAAGACTAGCGATGCAGAAAGCAACAAAACATGTGAGTCTGTTTTGATGCCATATCCTCACAGAATACATTTAATACCTTCTGGTTCTGTTTTTCCAGGTACGTAAGTTCCTGGAGGCGACGTGAATTCGGGAGGTGATGTGGGGCCTGATACATCCCCTGAAGATGTGGGGTAACCTGTGGGTGGTCGTGTCGGGAAATCTGGAGTTGCCGTTGGGTAACCAGGAGTTCCTTCTGGGGGCGACCCTGTGGGAATACCTGGTGTAACTCCTGAAGGTGGTACCGTGGGAAAACCTGGAGTTACTTCTGGGGGTGATTCAGTGGGGAAACCAGGCGTTACTCCTGGAGGAGGAGCAGTGGGAAAACCAGGTGTAACCCCCGGGGGTGATGCCGTGGGAAAACCAGGTGTTACTCCTGGAGGTCCGACTGTGGGGTATCCAGGTGTTATTCCCGGAGGTGGAGCTGTAGGGAAACCTGGTGTTACTTCAGGTGGCGACTCAGTTGGAGAGCCTGGTGTTACCCCTGGAGGTGATGCAGTGGGAAACCCTGAGAATTCTGTAACCACTTCTTGGGGAGGAAAAGTTGGGCTAACACCTGCAAAATCAATATCGTTAAGTAAACCGACAGAATTAATATTCTCATATGTCGGGAAATGATTACACTGAACTCATAACTTTTCAACATAACTGATGTTTGAGTACTTCGGAATCCATTCGAGTTTATTGAGACAGACAGGTCTTGTGGAGACCTACTATAATATCGACATATTTTCATTAGTAGAGACATAATACTGATTTGAAGTCAAAAAGTAGAAAAAGGACAAGTCATTGATGTACAGAATCAAAATCAAAAACTATGGATTCAGAATCGAATCAGTTATTATTAAAGTTGAACAATCTCGAACACCAAGAGATCAAAATTGACCTTATTAGTGATGCGAACTCATGGTTGCCAACTGCGGTAAAATAATGACATTTGACATTAGCTAATGAATAAATAACCAATCTTTTTGAATTCCTTCTGCATTTTCATCTTTGGGACTATATTTTCTCATAGCTGATTCTTCATTCTGGAGCCCCAACTTCATATAGGACGACTGGAAATTTCTTTTCGGCTATATTCTGCAAATCAGTTTCTCATTTACCAAAAATGAAAATTCAGAAGGAACTCAGAAAGATATGTTATTCATTTATAAGCAAATGTCATTATTTTACCGCTGTTGGCAACCATGGGGTCGCATCACTTAATAAGGTCAATTGATACACGAGTAAATTTATTTCGTTCTATGACGTAAGTGAAATGTTATAGGTTGTCAAAAATGTTATGCTAATATAGTGTTTTACTGACATCATGGTAGATATGTTGATTATTCTTCAGGAAAGTTTCAAACCGTATGTACGTATGTCATTCGGCCTAACTTATTTAAAATAATTTTTTATTACAACTAATACTTTCAAATGTCACTCTACAAAACCAATATTTGTCGGGTGATCAGACTGTGACGTTAAATGTTCCAAAACATTAGTTTTTTTCGTAATTTTTCTAGAAAAAGATGAGTTCTGAGCTTCATTAATCGGGCTTAAGCTTATCAAGCATAAACGAATCAAGTTTTGCCTTCGACAGCTGAATGGAAGCTCACTTTGTTAGTTTTTTCAGATGGTAATGTGTAGTTCTGTATACTCCACATTCGTATCGTTGAATTATTTTGCCAAAAATTCCAATGATACGTGTTTGTGTCTATTGATAACATTCTTGTGGTGTTTGACATGGAGCTTTTCTGAAATTTTGTTTTTATTAGTGATCGATATAATTTGTTTTTCAAAAACCAAACATTTCAGGTATCTTCGGCACATCTAATCAATTTAGAAAGTAACCTTTTTAGGGGGTAAATGATCATATGAAAAACATTTAGAAACACTCAATTAACAACATGTAATTTGTAATACAGTCCATTCCCGTTGAAAGGAGCCATTTGATAATGAGACTGGAAAATCGTGAAACACAACTTTAGTTTTCAAGGGAAACCCTGGTCACGTGAAAATCAACCTCTTGCCAGCTATAACAACCCACCTGTCAAAAATTTCAATCGAGAATAATAGTCGAATGACACCTTATTTGAAAGGTATTTCAATTCTGTAAATAACTCAGTAAAATGTTTGACATTACAACGATAAGCATAAGTGTCAGAGAACAATAAAATACTTTTTTGAATTCGTATTGGATTTTGAAGTGAAAAGTGAACCTGAACATAAAATTTGGTTTATTAAATGTTTTAACTGATCACCATTAATTTGCATATAATGATATAAATGAGCTTCTATTTCCTCCCTTGAATTCTGAAAAATATCAGGTGTCAGTAGCCTACAGCACGTCCCGTAAATAATCTGTAGTGGTTGACTGTGTATATTGTTAGACTTTTGTTTTCAATCATTTCCATAGAACAATGTCCAGTGGAGTCAAATCGAGGAATCTGGGTGGTCATTCTGTATAACTTCTATTTCCAAGTTCCAAGGGGAAGTTATTATCGAGGAATTTTTGGATACCGGTATTACACTACGCAATGAGGAAGAGCTCAGTACATTGAATAATCTTTCACTATTCAGGGTTGCTTTAAAAAATAATAGTGTGATGTGAATTTAGCTTGCCATATTAGAAACCGAATCACTACACAATTTCAAAACGATTGAACGACCTCTCAAATAAGGTGACACTCGATAATTGTTTCCATTTAAAATTTTTGACTTGAGGGTTGTGGGGTGGAGATGGCAGACAAGGGGTTGTGTTTCATGATTTTTCAACAGTCTCAAATTGAAATGACTTATTCAAGGTGGCTTTTTTTAATATATGCACTGTATATGAAAATATGTAACACCACAAAAACGAGTTTTCTCACCAATGTTACAAATTTTTCGAAGATCCACCATAGGCTCAAAGGCACGCTTTTCCAAAAAACGGCTGGGTCCACTGAATAGTTTCAGAGCTCTTAGGAAGGTTCTCAGCCTGCTCTGCCATTCTTTATAGATGGACTCGCAGTCAAACCCTTGGAATAGTGAAAATAACCTAAGTGATAACGACCCTGTGTTGTACCCCCTCGCCATATGGGAGAGTCTGACTTCAACGAGCTCAAATAAAAATATACTTTTAGAAATTTTGATTTTCAACTTCCACAGCCAATTTTCAAAAGTTTGAACTGGGTTAATGCTAACTCTCTTTCACTGTCAGGGGGTACATTTCCATCAATCGGTGCTTCAATTAGAAACCGAAATCAATTTTGCAAAAAGCAGGTCGTCGAAATATTTTTCGTGAAAGAAACATATTTCACATATACCTACAGAAATAATTATTTTCTGACCCATCCCGTGGTAAGTAAGGAAAGTACACAGTTCAATTGTGAATGATTCTAGTCGAATCAATAAAGTCTTTTTCCAGAAGACCCCTAAAACAGCTTCGGTGTTGGTATTTTTATAAATGACTGTTTTCTTCTCATATTATTCCAAATCAGAAATATATCCAAGTAATGACAGAATATATCTTTACACTTTCCGAAAAAAAAAAATTAAAACCAATACTATTAGTCAGAAAATGAAAACAAGAAATATAAAGAAGTTGATCGAAATCGAAGCTGTTTCTGAGAGTTTCCTCTGTTGCACATATTCATTGAAGTTACTAATCATTTGGTATGAAATATTTTACTGTAGACATGCTGTTACGATGATGCATCTGTTATTGTGAAAATTTGTAATGATTTCACCCTTGTCAGTGCACGAGTCCAGCCAGCTAGACATTTTATGAATAAATAAAGACTGAAGTTGCCATATCCGGACCATTTTCGTTATTTGTGGTTGGCTACCCTGAAGAAAACATCAGTAGTGCTAACCTAAACCATAAATGAATGGTGGGATTTTACTGTCTCTCAAAAACAATCCTGAGTATAGACTTCCCCTTTATGAAGACGCCATAAATAAATAAGATTGACAGATGAGACGAGATCTATAGTAGGGCGAAACAGCTCTGTTTGGTATTGATCAGTATAAACCCTGACAAGAGTCAGGCAATACTGTTCACCCGAAGGATGGTAGACCCGAAAGGAAACGTCATCTTCAACAGACAAGAGATTCTCTGGACCAATGAAGCTAGATACAGCTAGACCACCGAAGCTACTGATGATAAAGACCGTAATACTACCGATAATCCTGCCTGGGGCCAGTGCGCAGCGACATACAGAAAACAGATCCAGTCGTTTATGAACGCGTGAATAAGGGCCGCCGTAAACGGTACAAGATATGTACCGAATAGGTACATATTCCGGGATCTAGACCTGAACATACACTACGTGGACACATACATGAAGAAACAGGCAGAGGACATGTTCGACAGAATTCGAGCGCTCGACAACCCAGCGCTAAGCGACTTGCCTGTGTTGTCAACTGGATGAACTATAAAGTCGCTACACATGAACCAAAATTCCGCTACACTGCTTCATATTCCGCTAGCTTGTATATCTCATACAATTTGTAGTTTGTTATCGTTCAGATATCATAAAACTGAACTGTCACTAATGTCAGGAAACAGGATCATGCTAATTTTCAACCGCGCAACTCAGTAGATGGTACCTAATTTTCTAAATTTACAGCAGTTAATTTTTGAAAGCTGTTGTCTCAGCAAATATTTCTTATCTTGAAATAATGATTTTGAGAAGTAAATTCGCTACAGGATGATAGTAATGAAAATATCCAAAAATATTCTTCTTCTCTTTCATCATATAATGGCCTCAGCTACTAAGACTATAACGTATTGATTGTGCATTAAATTATTCAATTGTCAGCTGTCAGTTTCGAGTGCTGTCCACTGCCTCTTCTTCTTCCACATTTTTTCATTATTGATTATTTGTAGAGAATTTCGCAACCATAGCGGAATTCCGCTACGGTTGGCAACTCTGACATAACGCACTAAAAAGGGATGACCCCAGATTCCGAGAGAGAGACAAACACAGGAGGCCAACGAAGCCGAACCAAAGACCACCCCCGAGAGTCGCTGTCAAGCGGCTCCGGTAAGTATAGAAATTTCTAAACCAGTTCAAACAATTTCTTTTCCAGACTCACTGAGAACCAAAACTCGTTCGCGATTAAAAAGACACTCGTCTCCGGTTAGTTTTTGGGGACCCCATGCAATAATTCAGTTAAGAAAGTCATGAAAAATCAATTTAACAGATCAGAAAGTAAAAGCACCTAGCGGCTGACTTTCGACCAAAGACGGTCAGATGTCAGTCTTGCTAAAGTGCCCATCAATAGGATTGAGTACCGCTCCAGGAGCAGCGGGGATGGATGGAATGTTTTCCTCACAAAATGTGTTTTATGGGGCGAAGTTTTTACTCCAGGGCACTCAACCCGGGAGGGGGCATGGTATTAGATCACGAATGTTGTTGTTTTTGGGCTCTGGTATCAGCTGCAGAGGGAGACACAAAGAGATTTCCCACTCAGAGGTCGATGCCAACCAACACGATCCTATTTTGGATCAGATAGTCACGTGTGATGAAAAGTGGATCCTCTACGAGAACAAGAGACGTTCAGGACAGTGTTTGGACCTCGATGAGCTCCCCAGACATTTTTCAAAGGTGAAAATTTACCAAGAAAGGCCATGGTTACTGTATGGTAATCAGCCGCCGGTGTGGTTCACTATAACTTTCTGCAACCGGACTAAACCATCACAACAGAGTCTGATTGTGAAGAAATCGACGACATATACCCACAATTGCGTCAGCAGCAGCCGGAATTGGTCAACAAAAGAGGTCCTATCCTGCTCCACGACAACGCCCATCCGCACGCTTCATAAATCACCGTCCGAAATTTAAACAAATTGAGTATCGAAGTCCTGTCTCATACACCATACTTCCCTGAATTCTCGTCAACCGACTACTATCTTTTCAAGCACTTCGATAACTATCTCAAAGGTAGAATCTTCGCCAATCAGGACCAGGCAAAACGGCCTTCATCAACTTCATTGAATCCCGAGCATACAATTTTTATGTTGACGGAATTGATCGACTTTTGTTACGTATTTACTGAGATATTATAGTTTTAAGTAGACTCATAAAAACGGACAAAACTTTTGAAATAACCTTGTAGTTGTAGGAAATTTATCAGATGAGTTACCTACATATATCAATATGTATAATGTAGTTTCCCCGTGTTGAAGTTATATTAATATGTTTCACTCATTGATTAGACTGTTAATGTTATAACATGTTCTTTTCGTACCAAAGTGGTTAATAGAGATTATTATTGTTATTGATGTTACAAACCTGGGCTTCAAAAACCCACGAGATTTTATTGACTTCAATCGTATTCTAGAGTTTTCTATGAATTTGAAAGTAAATCAAGGGATCATTTCAATCAAAGTTTATGCACGGAGATTCCGGAAACTGTAAGAAATAGTCAGTTGAAGAATAAAATTTCAAAGATCTGTTCGATCAAATTGAATTCCTGACGACAAACATGTATGACAAACATGTATTTAATGTTTTGATTGGTTTCCGGGTTTAGCCGTGGTGACGTGTCAAATGACACGTTACTGAAGATGACTGCCGCAGTTGCAGTCGAAACGTTTGGAGATTATAACCAAACGACGGCAAAACCCTGAAACCAATAGAAACATTGACACCAGACGTGAAAACCTAAATTCCTATACATGTATTCAAGTTTTTTTCACCTTAATTTGTAAAAAAATACCAACTATTGAATTAAAATGAATTGCCTTTCCTGCCTTGTATGGACCAGAATTATTTCTACTTTACATCTAGTAATAATAGGGGAAGGACTGAGGAGGAAACTGACGTACAGGAGGAATAGATTGATTATATACTTGGACACTCAAGCTTCGTAGGCAACAATGAAGCTAATAAGTGTACTAGACACAGATCATCAACTCCATATATAGGCCCTGAACCAGGTGTTGGGTACCAAAGTCTCTGGTACACACCGGAAACTTTATGAAAGGACCATCCACGAACTGCTTCAACAAATTAGGGATCCGCTAATACAGGGCTACTCATTGGACAGTGTCCATTGAGAGGATACCTGAACAAAATAGGGCTATACAAGGGAGACCTTAACTGCAGGCAATGCAACAAAGGGACTGAGACAGCTATCATTTTTTATGCTAATGAGGAAAACAATTCACGGACACCTCCGATTTTGTTTAAAATATGACGTATGTTGAGCAAGGGACCTGTAGGAACTAGTACAACGCTCAAGATTATTGAACACATCAGATTATGTTCAAAATAATATGACGTACATTCAGCAAAGGACCTGTAGAAACTAGTACAGTGCCCAAGATTATTGGACATCTCAGATTATGTTCAAAAGAATATGACGTACATTCAACAAGGGACCTGTAGGAACTAGTACAGGGCCCAAGATTATTGGACACCTCAGATTATGTTCAAAAGAATATGACGTAGATACTGTAAGAACTAGTATAGGACTCAAAATTATTGGAAACCTCAGATTATGTTTGAAAAATATGATGTAGATTCAGCAAGGGACCTATAGGAACTAGTACAGGTCCCAAGATTATTGGACAACTCAGATTATGTTCAAAAGAATATGACCTACATTCAGCACGGGACCAGCAGGAACTAGTACAGGGCCCAAGATTATTGGACACCTCAGATTATGTTCAAAAGAATATGACGTACATTCAGCAAGGGATCTGTAGGAACTAGTACAGGGCCCAAGATTATTGGACATCTCAGATTATGTTCAAAATAATATGACGTACATTCAACAAGGGACCTATAGGAACTAGTACAGGGCCCATGATTATTGGACACTTCAGATTATGTTCAGAAGAATATGCCATGCATTCAGCAAGGGACCTGTAGGAACTAGTACAGGTCCCAAGATTATTGGACACCTAAGATTATCTTCAGAATAATATGACGTACATTCAACAAGGGACCTGTAGAAACTAGTACAAGGCCCGAGATTATTGGACACCTCAGATTATGTTCAAGAGAATATGACGTACATTCAGCAAGGGACATGCAGGAACTAGTACAGGACCTTAGATTATTGGACACCTCAGATTATGTTCAGAAGAATATGACGTACATTCAGCAAGGGACCTTTAGGAACTAGTTCAGGGTCCAAGGTTATTGAAATTGGTGTCAAGAAAAAGATTAAAGAAAAACCATGAAGTTGCTGTGTTTTCCGCAGACTTGGGAGGCAAGGACAAGTCGGACAGCTTCCAAGTAATCAAAAATGGCTCACAAATTCACTAACTTTTTTCTCTTACAGTTTCCGAGAACAGTCATCTACTAACATTTCAGAAGCTTTATATAATATTCTAGGAGTTCACTACTAACTCTCTGTCGACTCTTTGTGAGAAAAGGACATTTTACGATTTGATAAAAAATACAACATTCCCTTAATCAACACCATCTTGTTTACCTGGTTTGAAAGAGATTCATACGGTTGACCAAGAATCTTGTATGGGTCATTCCACTCCATTCAAATACATTTCATTGACTTTGCTAGGGTAGCATAATGTCAATAATCAATTTCGTAATTTTCTAACCTTTATTATTCATTTTTTTCAAAAACTACACCTGGTCTGAATCAATCAGAAAACTTTATTATTCAAATTTTGAAACTAAACGACTCTATATCTTGATTTCCTATTTTGCATACATATTGTTTTTCGAAACTTACCTTCTCTAGATTTTTCGGGGTAATTTTAGTCTCTTCTAGGAATAGATTTAACATTTCATCGTGAATGAATACCAGGAAGGTTTACTATCGTGGTTAACATTATTATTATTGATCGTTGTTTAATTTACTACTTTGGAGTTGATGGTTGTATTTTTCAACTGGCATGACGCTAAGGAACATACTTGTTTTGGTGATTATGGTTATCCGAGTTAGGCTGTTATGGGCGAAACTTTTGGAGCCAGTCTCTTTATTAGGCTGTGAAAGTACTTGTGGAGGAAGAGAAGATTGAACTTGGTGATCGAAACACGTGTCGAGGTGTTAAAATAACGGTAATATTCAAGCTGTGAACTTCATGCCTTAAGTTTTAACCTCTGTTTCACTCCAACAGAATCGGCAGGGTGTTAGTAGCTGACGATAATTCCTAGTATATAAGTAGGATATGAATTTCCTTATATGATGGTTGAGTACTGTTAGGTTTCTCCAAGCTCCCATTTTATTTACAAAACCAACCTGGTGGTGGTTGCGTGGGAACTCCGGGATATTCTGGCGAAACTTCTGGAGCTTTAGACCCCGGGGTGGAAAACCCGGTAGGTTCTTGAGGGGAAATGTACGGTGACGGTGTAAAGATACCAGGAACGCTAGGTCTTTCTGTCTCTAGAGACGGTGGGGTGGGGTATCCTGGTCGTTCCGTCGTTTCTATCGAGGGAGGATACGGGGAAGATCCTTCGGTGGGGTAACCTGGGACGCTAGATGGGGGTTGCGGTGGGGTAGGGTACCCTGGCCGTTCCGTCGTTTCGATCGAGGGGGGATACGGGAAAGGTCCTTCGGTGGGGTAACCTGGGAAACTAGATGGGGGTTGCGGTGGGGTGGGGTATCCTGGTCGTTCCGTCGTTTCTATCGAGGGAGGATACGGGGAAGATCCTTCGGTGGGGTAACCTGTGACGCTAGATGGGGGTTGCGGTGGGGTAGGGTACCCTGGCCGTTCCGTCGTTTCGATCGAGGGGGGATACGGGGAAGGTCCTTCGGTGGGGTAACTCGTGACACCAGACGGAGGTTGCGTTTGAAAGCCTGATGGCGGTGACGGAGAAGGTATCGTGCTCGGACCTTTTGGAGAATTGGACGTGCATGATTAAAGGTGTATCTTCACGAAAGCAGAAAGGGCCACAGGAAATTATTTCTTATATCACCTTCGGGGATCAACGTAATTCACTTACCTGCTGGTACTGTCGGGTAGCCGGGCGTTTGGGTGACTGGGGGTTGGGTAGGACCACTTGGATAGGGAAAAGGTGGTTGTGGAGTGCTAACTGGTGGGTAACCGCCGTCGATGAAATTTCCGCTTTCGTCGGTTCCGTCGCCATTCGGTCTAGGCTGGAACGGTCTCGGTTTTTCCGTAATTGTAGGAGGGAGGTATTCTCTCAAGCCACCCTGTCGAACTGAAAGAAAAAGGTAATCAGTAACTGGTATATTTGGATCTCCTGGCTAATGACTCCATCAAGAAAGGTTTTCCAAACTAGTATAGATTCCAAAAATCGATGGCATTCAAACCCAAAAAATTGTGACATTGCACTACCTTCAATGCTTCATGAGCACGACAACATGACATCATGTCCTTGTAATTTCTAGTTGTCTAAAATTAGAACTGAAAGTCATGAAAATGAAAGGTATTTTTTTCCAACATTAATAATAATATTTATTTGTGAAGTATTTCAAAACAGACTAGATGGTGGAATAATTAAAACCAATGTAGAAACAAAGAAGAAAGTATGGAACTATGGCAGAAATATCTGAGGAATGTAATAAAAGAAATTTACATTCAATACAGGAAAGAACGAAAGACAATTGTGAAATTAGTAATCCGAGCTGAGCACACATTCTTTTTTTTTCGATTAGGCAGCATTAGCTGCTACTTCCCAGCTGGGAACGTCAATTCTCAGTTATATTTTTTGGTATAGGTTATTTTAATTCAACGTATTTTGATTCGGGCCGCATCATTCAATAAGCGTCTTAGACAAATTCAGTGCATACAAAAATAACAACCCAACTGATGTCTACGTTCTTATGTTATCAACACAACTCATGTCAGATCGAAACCAAAGATAACAGAATACTAAGTGTTGAAGAAATTATGAGTAGTAGGAAGGAAAATGGAAGGAAAAGTATTGAATGCTAATGTTACAACAACAGATAGACATGTAGAAGCAAAAATACACGAACACCAGGAGGAAGGTGATAATATCAGCACAAACGAAGTTATAGAAGCCTTATCATGTTTAGAAGTAGGAAAGTTCGCTGGGCATGATAAAATTACTCCAGAGATGTTGGGAAATTTAGGAAATATTGGTATAGAGATTCCGACCAAAATATTTAATATAGCTTGGAACACAGGTACCTCAAGACTGGGAAATTGGAATCATTTCACCAATATTAAAAAAAAGGCGATACAGGTAATTGTGATAACTACAGAGGAAATACATTATTTAGAGTAGTGTTCGAAAACTTTTGGGCATATAATAGAACGATTATAGAACTATGTCTGATTATATCACAGCCTGAGTCGTTTATGGGCAAAGAGGAGATTATAAGAAAACCTAGTTGTTGGTCTGTAGGATTATATTTACACCAATCTCAACCTATGGCAGCGAGAGGAAAATATGCTCAAGTAGTTTGGTTTTTTATGTAGGATTCCACCACTAACACAAGCAAATCTACCAGCTGAGCAATTTGCGTCCCACTCCGCAGTCGATTTTCTGGGAAAGGTACCACCCGATATTCCCATACTAGAATCCACAATGCCGGGAATTACTTCTCGACTATGTCTAGTTAGGCGAATTTTGAAACAGCTTAATATTAACAAGGCGTCTTGTCCTGATGAAGTGCTCCTCAGATCAACTCCTATCGTATGTCACCCATTTTGAATAATGCAATCGATAAACATAGGGAGTCAAGAGCTGTTGCTCTTGATATTGCTAAGGCCTTTAACCGTGACATGAGGGTTTGTATATGGCTCTCCACCTTCCTGAAAGAACGTTGGGGGTTAAAATGGACAACAATTTGTCTTGGCACAATCATGTCGCTGGAATTGCAAAGGCTGCTTTTCAAAAGCTGTAGACACCTCTAGATACTGTAGACACCTCAGCAACTTTTGATGCTTCATAAAGCTCAGATTAGAGTTTCTTTGGAGAATTGTTCTCATGTATGGAGCTCCTCCTCTAAGCATACACCGAAGCTGCTGGATTCCATCCAGAAAAAAGCCATCCGCCTGATTGGAGACGCGAACATCACTTGGAACCATGATAGTCTGGAACATCGAAGAAATGTTGGAGATTTATCTCTCTTCTATAGATACTTTCACGGGAAGTATTCAAGTGACTTAATACATTTGATTTCACCAAGAACGGTACATATCAGACATACGCGACGGACTGTGGCTGCTCAACGTTTTGAGATTCAGCTCAGTACACTTCGAACTACACTGTTTAAGAACTCTTTCATTTGGAGAACTGCGTGTATGTGGAATAAACTTCCTGAGAACGTTTTTCCAAATAGATTTATTATTCAGCGATTCAAATCCAATGTGAATCCTTACTTTTGCACAGGCATCGATCTTAGAGCGCCTTGAAGATTTACCGGTAGTGCTTGTATTTTTTTTTGAAAAAATGACTGACACGAGGCAGGTAAAATTAAGGTAAATGGGAAGCAAAAGTGCAGAACAAAAGAGGACGTTTTAGACTGATAAAAATTGGAAACGATTAAGTGGGAGACACATTTGATAGAAGAAACATAACAAGAAGAGGATCAAGGAATAAGGGGAAGAATTGAAAAGAATGGACCAGATTTGTGTATAATACTATAAATATCTTTGACATTATCACGACCTTTCGGCAAGATCCCACTTGCCATATCCATGTGCTTTGCTTGGTAGCGAAACTTGAAAGTTTAGTTTACGAGTAAAACAAATTGAATTTATTCCTGATAGATAAACAATGAGTTGATAATAAGTAATGAGACAAGAATAGAAAATGAAAATAATAGAAAATCGTGTCCACTTTCATGAATTGACAAAAAAGTAAAAAAATTTAAAAACGTCAATTTGTCAAATATCAAAAGTTACTTCATCGATTAGTGTCAAATAGTGTAGAACACATAGAACACTAAACTATCGTAAACAATAAAACATGAGTTTGAGAAAAAATGAAGTTTAACTTTAATTCCAGATATCAAACGACATTTAACTGTGATCTTGTTAGAACAAATAACAGTTTGAAAACGCCAGTGTCAATACTTTGTAACAACTATAGTTCAATATGTGATATGTGCGATATTAATCACAGTTCTCAAAGTTTGATTTTAAAATGTATTCTCACTAGAACCTTTTATCTGTGACCACTTTTTCTTTTCGATTCTTGTGATATATTTCTATTTCTACTTATTTTTCTTTTAGTTGTAGCAATCTTTTTTTTTAACTAATTATACTGTTTTGCATATATTTTCATCAACACCTTTGTACATTTCCTGTAATTGGGTGAATGCCTGTTGGAAATAAAGTGCTTTCAATCAATCAATTAAATCTTTTTCAGGAAGTGAATTCTTGATTTCAAGTCAATGATTATCCCTCTCCCTCCGTTGATTAAAAACCGTTATTATTAGCTTGTAAATCGGCTGACTCAAGTTAAAATCGGGTTATCTACCGAAAAATCGATGTAAGCGACAACGTTGCTTGGCGAGCAAATCAAACATTCAGTGTTTTTTTATTGTATTGGTCTCGGAGTACCGATAAATGTGAAAATCACACTAAATTATGAACTTGTCACTTTTTATACTATAATCAATTTAAAAATTGAAAAAATACTGTTATTTCAAGTTTTCACTTTTGTCGACAGTCCCCATGACTGACTATTTTTTTTCGAAGGAACTCTAACAGTATTTCAATGGAACATTAAATACCATAGAAACTTTGAAGTAACGTTCTTTCATAGAAAAATATAAACATTTCATTTGCTGTCACAGGACAAAACTACAAAAAGTTTAATGGCGCAATCGTAATTAGCTACGTTATTGACCAACAATACACTCCAATCCATCAGACTGTGAAACATCATTGACCAGTTTCATGCGGTGAAGTGATTGGAAATTTATTACTTCTCTACACTGATAATAGTAATATCCTTTTGTATTTCATTAAGTGTTATGGCATATTAACATCAATTTGTTCAACTCAGCAAGGAGGAGGAGGAAATGAGATTTTCCTTTCATTTTTATGTCACAATTATTTTTCGAAATGTAGTAATTTTATATTTCGTTTTGGTTCATTTAAATAGGTTATTAATGCAAACGAAGAGTGAATAATAATAAAGTAGATCATAGGTTTGTAATGAAAGTGGATCCATGGTTTTTTTATCGTAAGAGCATCTTTTACATATAGAAGCTAGAAGGAGCTAGAAAACAACAATAATTCAGTCATGGATGACATGATTTCTTGGTGTGAAGGAAATCAACTAATCATTCTGTAAGAACTGTAAGTAGTTTGCACTATTTAAATTATTTGGAAAAAATACTAGTCCTATTGAATTATTTTTAACAATGCCTGCCCAGACATTGACCTTGAAAGTATTCTGGTGTCGTTTTTTTTGCGGAAGAGTTTTCTTCAGCCCTTATGTGTGCGTTATAGTGATTCGTGATGCCATTTCTATTGAAGGTAGCTTCAATAAATAAAATATGGTCAACAAAATTGATATTTCGATTGTTTTCCGTTAAGAACTCCATTCTTTTGAGAAATTATCCATCTACTAATTCTTAAACGGTTGTTAAGTGATAAGGATGCAGCTGCTGTTCTTTCAATCTTCTCCAAACCATCATGTGACCACTTTTTTAAGTGAGCCGCTATTACCCTTGTATGTCTTTCAGGGTTTTCTTCGACAAATTTTAAAATCTCCTCATCCTTTGTATCGATTTTTGGACGAACGACCACTATTACCAGTTGTGCCAGTTGCTCACATTGCGTGATGGACCCTCTTACTCTGGGAACTTAGAGGGTGGTAGATAATAATAGTTTTTTACAATGAAAATAAATATGGGTTCTTACAACCTACTACACCATTTATTGTCTTCTTTTTAGAGTCGGAAAGTAGGTATTTCAAGGTAAAAGCTTGATTTAATTTTTTTTCTAGAAATATTTTTTTTTATTGAAGCCAACCCTGGATGTGGCATCTATTTCATGGTGGGCCTACCAACTGCCTATCACAAAAGAATACGTAATCAAAATATCGTGTCCCTGATATTTACCGCTGAAACGATCTCTCGTAGGGAGCCGATCCTGGCAGCAGCACCAGGTCACGTTTATGATTAACATGCATTGTCATCGGTTCTGGACCAGCATGCAAAATTTCAGGTCAATCGGATACCGGGAAGTGGGTCAAATGAAACTTGTAAGATTTGTTAACATACATTCAAATAAAGTTAAATAAAAGCTTTTAAAAAGTTACTCTTACGATAAGAAAGCCATGGATACATTTCCATTGCAAAATCTCAAGCAGTTCATGAAATATTGAAAAGATTCGATTGTCATTCTGTACTTTCCAAGGGCTGTATTCTTTTATGCAAATTTGCATTGTAGTTCAATATATGACCTACCTTTTCGTTACACCCTGTATAACTACAATTCAAAAATACTACCATACAGATATTTCTCTTTCTGCTTTCGACATTGAAGAACAAAGTGGGGAAGTAAAAAACAGTGTAGAATCTTCCTGAATATAGATTAGTGTGACTAAATCCAACAAAATAGACTCGACCGAAGTAACTACTTCTAGCTGTATGAAATATATTAGCAGCTTTAAGCAAATTATTGGAAACTGTTTCGTCTTGGCAAATTTGAATCCCGCTGGATCAAAATTCACTTTAATCAGTTTAATCTATTGTAAAAAGTCCAATAAGAAACCGCAAAACATTAGACAGTTAATGTTATTTTTCAAGCTAGGCGATGGCATAGGTTTAGTTATTTGTTACTGTTATTATTTCGTTAGATTCAGAAGCTTCCTGAGAAACAGCATTGTTTCTGAAATAGAATCCAAGGCAATAATAACCTGAAAAATCTCGATCCAGTATGTTAGACACAATTACGATTACCAAAAGCGAACCTTTGGCGTGGTTACTGAGCAAAAATTAGTAAGATTAGTCATATTTACATGCATCGTCATATCTAGCTACAGTATATGGCGAATAGGCGATTCCAGTTTCGTCCGTGTAGGACCTACTTCTTCGGTTCTGCTGGGTGTACACTCCTTGGAGCCACTGCAGGATGTTTTGTACCATCTGGTCCGCACTGGTTTGCCTGGAGAGTCTAGAATCTAGAATTGAAACAGAATGAGCATATATAGACAGTATCAGCAGATCCGAGACTAAAATGCTAGGTTGTACAATACACAGTTCCACAGTCACACATTGTATAGCACTCATCCACCGAGTTGTCAATTTTGTTGAGAAAATTTGAATTGCAATCTATGGGAGAGCGTTGATGACCATTAGTTTGATCTTTTTTACAAACACAAACAAAACATTGTGGAGAAATGGATTTTTATGTATTGTTACGTTTTTCCCGTGGGTTGACCATTAATTGACTATACTGTACAATTAAACTTTATTGTTTATTGTTCAAATGTCTAAATTACAATTCCATAACAGTAGGCACTGAATTCTTACAAATATTAATGGGGGTTACAAGGTTACAATTCTATATATTTTATCACCACTTTTATCCTCTGTTTGGTGTAATTTCCGTACGCCACTGCAGATTGACGCAAAAACGTCAGATATTTCTGAGAATTCAAGGCCTACTATTTTGGAATTATAGTTTATATCGCTCCGTACTGTACTGTCCGCTTAACTTGACTTGACTATCTCATATGCACATGGGTAGCGTTTATATATGACAAACAAAGTACCCCATAGCCGATAGGGAATTCGCCAGAAGTCTATCAAAACGACGCAGCATCTGACTAGAACAATCGCGAGGCGCACGTCGAGTTGAGCTCCGTCTTGGTCTCGTCACAAGTGATTTATGATGACCAGCGGCGGCCGGTGTATTTTTTTTAGGGGATGATTTACAGCAGTATTTATAGACTTCAAGAATTAACTACTGATAAAACTAGGTAGACTACCAATATTCATGTCTAAGTACGTCCTCCACAATGTGTTTTATGATGTATCATTGACTTGTAACTCCTCAAAACTAACTTCACATACGAGTATTTCTAAAATCGTATATGTTTTCAAAGTATAAGTACCATGGTGTATGTTTTGTATTATTTCAGTTGTTCAAAATATAACATTACCGTTGTACCTCTGCTTGTTTTACTAGTGAAATTTCAGATTTAGTGACCTTGACACAGACACAGAAGTTTTTTCCAAGTCTATGGCAGTTCTTAGGCAACCATTTATGATATCACTACTCCCAACAAGTCCACAGAGATCTTGCGATAAACAAAATCAAATTGAAATGTGGTATACTTTTTGGAGATATTAGTTTTTTGGAATGAAAGGTTTTTGGCTTTCTACTGTTCCATCTTTATATGATAAATGTGGGAATATTCAGTTCAAAATGAATTCTTGACAAAGATGTGCAGATCATGCATAAAGTAACTTTGTATAAAGATGGAGAAATGGAAAGCCAAAAATTTTCTTTTCCCAACCGAATACTTTTGGTATACTTTTGGAGTACGAATACTAACAGAAAATTTACGGAAACTGTTGAATAACAAAACATGGAATGTAATTTTTTTCAACAAATAGTACTTACTTTTTTTTCTGTCATGTTTGTTCGATGAGTTTTGTTCTGCTAAAATTTCTCCTACAAGCAAACATGTCGTTGCTAAAACGACGAATGTGCGAGGTTTTTTCATTCTGGAAAAGAAAGAACAGAAGTTTGAATTTTCATTAGCCTGCCAAGGAATCTGAAAAAAAAACAAAAAGAAACGATAAGATGTCGTACACAACAAACTTGTGAGGACTCAATCCTTAAAGAAAAACCCTTAGAACTCATTACAACAAAGGAAAATATCAGGGAAAAACACGTTAAAACAAAAAAAAATTGGTGGGAAGGAAAATAAATGAAGGATGGAGCAAAAACAAGAAAAAAGTTTTGGACTAGAAGTTATTGAAGAAACTTCCTGGAAAGGACAGGATGGACGATAACCTCGGAGAACAATTCCACGGGAGAATGTACATTGGGTCACATGTGGCCTAAGTGCTACATTCACCCTCCCTACTCTACAGATACAGATGCAGAGATGCATAAGCCACCGTATTCACTAGATTTGGCCCACTGCGACTTTTTCCTGTTCCTGAGATCGAAGAAACCTATGAAGGGACAGCGTTTTGTCACGATTGAGGAGATGGAAATCGAATCGCCGAGAGAGCTCAAGAACATAGCAAAAAGTGCATATGAAAACGCTGGCACACGTGTATAATATCCCAGGACCACTCTGAAGAGGACAAAATAGTAGTACATAGCCATACATTATTGAGAATCATTACAACCACTTGATAATCAATCACGCTCTGCTTTCTGGATATATGTTAGGTAATGCTTTCAGAGTGACCTATGAAAATTCTATTTCTTGTGAGATATTTCGAAAATATGAGGCGTTGAGCAGATTTCTAAACTACGAATATTTTTATCGAAATATCTTGGAAATCTATCCCAACGGTTCACTTACTTTCCTATCTCCTTTCCTAATGTCAAGCTTTTCTTTATGCAAATTTAATTGGTGTAATGCTGCACCGACCGAACAGAATATATGGATTTAAAGTCATGATTGGTGTTATTAAAATAATGAAGTCGATTGAAATCTCAACTTGACCCCCAATGCTTTCATTCCCTGATGGAAATTGTAGTAGTCGAATTATGCAGTTTCATAATGTATCTGAGCAATATAGCTGACAAAAATTATAATGAAAAATGTGAAATAAAATTTTCTCCTGTTTTTTTACTACTTGTGTTTGTAACTGCAGTTTCGTCCTACAAGGACATTTTCAAACGAATACAAGAAACTCAATAACTAAATAAACTCAGTTTATTGTATTCATTTGAAAATGTCC